TCTTCGCATTCGCACAAGTTTTACCACCAGTGAATTTACATTTACTTCCTGTGTTGTTGAATAGCCTTAGGACACTCTGTTAGTAACATCTCTATTCAATAGCGGTTTCTCCCTGACAACTACATTTGCAGATTACTTAGTCTGCAAGTTCCTAGAAATATTGAATTATATTGATTTTTAACATGCTTTCCCAAATAAACAGGAATTCTACAGTTGTGCCATTTGTCCCCTTATGAATTTATGAAGCATTGATCAATTTCTGCCTAATTTGAAGTTTTAGTTGTAATTAAGTTGCTCTGAGCTTACTGCTAACAGTAGACAGAATAGAAGATGAAATGAGAAATGGGTCTTCCTCATAAAAGGAAGACTTTCCAATGTCTCTTTTGAAAGACAAGGTAGAGTAACTCAGGTGATATACATGGTGCCTGGAAACAAACAACTAGCAAAGAAGCAGTCACAGCCAGCCAACTGTAGCAGGTATGTGGCTCCAATATAATGACAGGATATAGGGTCTTTTTTTCCAGAGTTTTAAGGGGAAACCTGAGAAAAGCAGGAGGTAGTTACTGGAAAGAAAAGGAAGACAAAGGGCTTTCCAAAAATGCATAGGAAACTTGGCATAATTCGTTCAGCTGCTCAGAATATTCTGGAGGAATAAGTCAAATGCCTGGAAAAAAAAAATCAGTATACTTCATTTGCATATAAGTCCTTACCAGTTAAGCATGTTAATTCATCAAAGATGAACTGAGTTTATTTGTTAGAGACTTACTTGCCAGTAAGTTACATTGTCTTTAATTAATTACATTCTTTTATCTCAGTTCTTCATTAGTAATCTCCAATATCACAGTTCTGAAAGGGATTTTTAACATGGATCAGCTTCATCCCCCACCCCAAGGCAAGATCAAACATTCTTACATCATTTCCTGGCAGATGCTTGTCTAATTGGTTCTTTCCTTTGTGCTGTGTGTTGCCATATCCTTCTTGGGAAGTCTTTTCCAAAATTCCAGGTTTAGATCCCCCTATCTTCCTTGTTGCAAACACACAAGTTTAGGAACATGTGGGTAAGCAATGGTTACCCACCAGAATACATCAGACAGTTGGATAGAGTGGTAAGCACTGAGAATAATTAGAAGTCTAGAGCAGATGGTTTGCAATGAAAGTTTGAATGAATTGGGATTGTTTTCCTTAAAGAAGACAGGATTAGCTGGGAAGAAAAGCAATAGAGAAAGAGAGAAACATGACATGTCGCAATAAAAAAGTGGGAAGAGCTGATTCTTCATGTCCACGGTACCTAAAGCAGGGATTTATGGAACTATATATCCACTTATTCTTTATTTTTCTTGATATTTATGTCAAGCTAACTGTGCAGATAGTCTTTTCTGAAAGTTCGATTGAGATTTCTCCCATCTTCTTTAATTTCTCTGATATTTTAAGTTTCATTCAAAATGAACTTTGGTAACCAGTTAGCTTTTTATGAATCTTGAATACAAACTCTGCAAGCCTGCCAAGTTAGAAATATTTATCCCTGGGAATATATTGATGAGTTGAAATAAAATGAACTTCAGCAAACACCTGCCTTTTTTTTTCCAAATAGATAATAGAAACATATATTGAACAATTTCATACTTTCTTCTGTGTTATTTACAGTTTCACCATCTCCATCTGAAGATCAACATATGTTTGCTATGGATTGCATTTGCTGCTTGTATATATATATAAAAAAAAAAAAAGTTCCTCATTGTGCTGTTTGCCAGTCATAGATTGTTTTTGCTTTGATAACTTTAGCTTTCTTTATCATCTTTTCATAACGACAACAAGCTATTACCACATTTTTTCTATACCCGACGATTGACTTCACTTTTTCACTGAACCAGAAGGACTAAAGCTCTGCGGGTTTTTTGGTTTTGTTTTGTCTTTGTCACGCAACAAAGTTTTTTTTTTTATGTTTTGTTTTTTTAAGATATCAGTCATTCTTTTATGTTGAAATATCTCATCTTGAATAAATCTGCCAGTATTTTTCCTACCTTGAGGAAAACAGCCATTTGAAGCACCAAACTTGCGTGTTGCTGGCTGAGACTTCTCTGCTCAGTCAGACTGAATGTAATCAGGTCAGGTTCACTGGCCCCAGGCAACCCAGTTCCAGCCCAGTGATTTCATCCATTTTTATCCATCACAACACTGTCCAAAATGGTAAATTCATGGAAAGCATTATATCTTTTGGTGTTAGAAAATTACCATTCCTTGTTTTTAGGAGCTCTTAATTTTGACGTAGAACTGGCCAGAAGAAACCAGCAGTATTTACCTCCAAAACTGATGTATTCCAGGGCAAGGAGAATTTCCATGCACTGCAGTTGCTTGCTAGAGAATAAACTTATTCTGTTCTCTGATTTGCTCAGGTCACAAACCTCCCTACCATCATCTCCTCTTGGGCATTTTTGGCACACTGGCATACATCCATTGAAGACTCACATTCAGATTTATTGCTGTCTTTGGAATAAATAATAGTGTTTTTAGAACAGGGTGTCTCATCCTCAGCACTTTTATTCACTTGGATCACTGTAAATAGGTAATAAACAGACATTTTAATATTTCAGGCATACAAATTATCTTAACAGCTGTCAGTAATGCCAATTATAACAAATTCCTGCACATTGCTGTGATTGGACAGCAAACAAGAATTGGAGAAACTCCTAGCAGTGGCATAGAATTGATTTTAACATTCTCTTTCTTTTTCTTTGCCACATAAATTACATTTATTTGCAACACATGGAGGTTAAATTTGTATCATATTTGCCTTCTTAGCACCCTGCCCTCAAATTGCTAATTTAACAGTTTTCTGGCTGCTCCAAGTATCTCTCAGCTGAGAAGATTAGTTTCCCAACCTGTGAAATAACCAAAAGATGAGAAACATGGAGCGCTGTGATGCCATTTTTAGAGGCCCTTTTCACAGTATATTTGCACTTTAAACTTTCTCCTATCAAGGAACATGGCTATATTTGAAAGGCCCAATTTTCTTTTGGGAGGACTTGTCATTTTTTGCTAACCAATGCCAGCAACTAATCTCATCATGTTAATGCACGGGGACAGTTAAGTGACTTGTTTTAAATGCATTGTGATTGCTATCTATTTATTAAAAGCAAAAGCAAACAACTGCTTATAACTAATGTTCAGATGTTGATTGTTTGCACAAGTCGTTTTAAGTACAAGGCTAACTGAAGCAGACATTACATTCTTACTTTATGACATAAAAACTCTGCTCAGTGTGACATTTGTTCATGTATTAAAAATAAGTATTTTTTCCAGGAAATACTTTATTCTGGTCAGCCAAATTTGCTTAATAAGATTTTTAAAATTATATCCCAATTTTTATATTAAAAAGGGAGTAAGGTTTTTTCCCCACATTAATCCTTTTTTTTTTTAGGTAAGTTTACAAGACATACCTACAACACCTCAGTAGAGAAATAATCCACACATTTAATGGAGTAAGACATTTTAGATTTTCATTATTGCTGCTGTGAGTACAGTAGGCAATTTGAAGGCAAACATCGTGTACTTCAGAACAAATGCTAGTAAGTGCCCATCACTACTTCTAAGGGCAGGATAATACATTTCTCTTTGTTAGTTTAATCTCTGTGCAAATGAGACATTGTATATAAAAATTCTTACTACTTTATCTGATATTTTTATGTTAACATCATTTTAAATGGTACATGTTATAAACCATTACATGCACATATATAGTTCTTATTACACATAAATAAAACCCACATATGTTTGCAATCTGAGATACGATTTTTTTACCCTTAGATATTTGCATGAGGAACTGTTTGAGTCCCGCTGAGAGCTTCCACATCTGATGAGGGCAGACCTTAGCTTTGCTAGGCAGAACAAGTTATTTTTATATCTGCATGTGTCATTTCCTTCTTTGTCTCCAAATGGTCAGTGCTTTTATGTCGGAGTTTAAACAATATACTGAATTGAGTGTTGAACGCAGAGGTGCTTCTGTGGTGTTTGAATGCTCATGCTGGGCAGAAGATGGAGCAGCCCAGCCCTAGCAGAAGGTGCCAGCACTGTGGCTGGTCCATCCAATGCGCGTGCTTTCCTGATACAGCCGCACATATGGGGAATGTGTACTAAACTCAAAACACTTGTTCCCTAAGAACTGGTGTCACTTTGCAATGCTAGGATAAATGAACTTCAAGGGCTCACTGTTACTCTTTGTTAGATTAAAATACTTGTTATTTGAGGTATGTGGGGACAGAGTTATAGACATCCTCTTATGCAGCTTGGTCCATTTAGTTAAATCTTTTCTATTCCCAGTATTTCTCCATACTTTCAGTATGGAGAAGTTCAGTATTTCTCCATACGATCAAGCACAGATAGGATAACAGTTGAAGATTTCCTAAAGCAGTACTGTGCTGGAGTCTAACACTAATGCATGTAAGAGCTGCAAGGTACAACTTGTTTTATTTCAAGAGTGCTCCAGACGTTTATGATTTTGACAGTTTCCTACTACTGACTGCAGAACTTAGACTCTTCTATTAGGTACAGCTTACAAATTCAGCATAGCTTATGAATCTTGCAAATTTCTTTTGACTGCTAGGGACCTGACTCAGCTGCCATTAAAACCAAAGGAGAAAGATTCCTGGTGGTTTTGGTGGGTCTCACATCTGTCCTTTTGTCTCTGGAGACCACTACTATAACCAAATGCCGAGTGTGAATTAAATACAAATATTCAAGTGTATTTTTTTTTCCTTCTTGTAATAGCTTTGGATGAAATTTATTAACCATTTGCTTTATGCTTTGTCTGTTGTAATTCTCTCTGTCAGCCTCAGAGCACACATCTCCTGTCCTCCAGGAAAGCATAAGTGTTCCACAAAGATCTGCATTAGTGTGCAGAGGACAGGGTTCAAGCTTCAGGGGCCTGGGAGCTGAAAAAGCACTAAACAGTCTGTCAGCTGATAATTGGTCACTTCAATTAGCGGGTCCATGCAAATCAATTACTTTTACCTGTGCCTCGTAAATGCATTGTCCTTTCTGAGAAGGTAAATCTGGAGATGTAAGAGCCTTATGGCTGGAAAGGCAGATCTTTGCTGGATTGAGCAGTGGGGCGTCAGACCATCCTTACAGCCAACTCTGGCATAGCCTTGGCTCTTGCCTTGTGCTGCTGCTGTCCGTGGGACTGGCTGTGCTTGCAGCCATCAGTCCCCGCTGTAGGGTTGTGGTGCTGCACCCAGGTGCAGCTGCGCTGGCTCTGGCATCCGGCTGGACAGGATACCTCTGCAGAGAAGCCAAAGAAAGAGGTTTGTTGAGAAGAGCTGCGTTGCTTTGTTTTTTGTTGATGACTAAAGGAGTCAGGGACAGACAGAAGAACTGCACAAGACACTGGTTTTCATACTTACTTCCCTCTGGGCAAGGACAAAGTGAAGAGAAACCATGAGCCATGTGGAGGAGAGTGCAGAGGAGATGGTGCCAAATTGCAGTGTGATTTCCCACCAGCTGGATGCCATGGGTTACTCTCTTTGAGCAAACCCAGCAAGAGCATGCTCTAAGCAGAGAGATCAGCTGCAAATTGTGTATTAGTAAGTATGAGGTGCACGTATGTGAGCTTGGGAAGATCAGTCCCTATATCTCCCTATATCCTTGTATCTTTGTTCCAGGATAGCTCAGGGCTCAGTATAGAAGTCAGGATCTTTTCTATTATTCTGCATGCTGATCATAAAGCTTATGTTTTATTAAATGTTTGGAAATCCAGATTAAATCATATTTGAGCATTTATATCACTTCCTGTCAGACTTTCATTTTGTTTTCTGAGTGCTTTGCTACTAGCTGATGCAAGAAGTCCTTGTTTCTCCTCATTTGTGTCTTCATTAAAACTACATTTTTATTTGTGTCTCTTTAAAGGTGTATTCACAGCAGAGAGTTTGCACCCGCAGACAAATTATGTTATCTTGGTAACAGAGTTCCTAGCAATTGCAGGTGGATTGATTTGTCATCACGCAAAGCTTTTATCTACCATGTAAAAAATATTCCTCGTATAAATGAGGAAATAGAAATTGATTTTGAATAGCTATTCTTTCCACACACAGGCTCTTTTGTTATACATTTTGTTAATTCTGGTATGATTTTTATGCACTACATCTTTTTTTCTGAACTTTTCTTCTGATTTAGTGCCTGACTTTGTTTAATGCTACTAAATGATTTACTGAAGCTTTACAAGTGATATTTCAGCTGCCAGAGAGACTCTGAGCTGAATGCTGTCCCCAGATATGATACAATATTGTGTTAGCATTAATATGGATATTGATGCAAAATCGATGCAAATAGACTCCACATCTAATCCCACACTCCCTCACTCAAGCTTACTGGCAGCAACACTAAGTTACTTCTTTGATTTCAGTGCTGAATATGCAGTATTTATGAGGGGTTGCACTTTACATCCTTATTTTGGTAATCATTATGCCAGCACACATTACAACTGTTCTTAGAATTAAATCTGTTTCAGCACTTTTGTCAGACCCCACTTAGACTAACCCAAGTTTGGGGCTAGGGTTTTATTTAGCTTACGATTTCTCTTGCAAAATGTTGTGTCTGCTTCTTGAGCGTGCAAAACATGTTGAAGTTACTAACACCTTAAAGTTCGTTACCTGCGACAGGCAATGCAGCCCACTGTTTGAAAGGGGCAAGTGCCTGTGACATGTACAGCTCTGTTCAGCTGGAGGTCACTGTGCCACACATAGCCCTCCTACAGATGGCTTTGCAAAAAGTGCCTGGCTCCAGTGCACTATTAGGCTGTAATTAGTGTAACTAACAACTAATATGAAAGAGCAGAATAGAGGTCACCACAAGACTTCAAAGGTCTTAACAGGTTAGGGTTGGAGGGCAGTCTATCCCTTTGCTTAATCTGTTGCCATATCTTCTGAGATTTGTTGAAATCTTCACTGACCTCTAACCTTGACGTGTTGCTCTCCCATAATTTACCAGTCACATGCCATTTTCTTTATTTCTGTCCATTTGGACAGACATGGGTGTTTGTGAATGGTGTCTCCCCTTTCTGTTCAGATATAAATGTGCACAGGTAAAGAGCTTTTCGTTGTAGGATGGGGATTGTGGTTTAAACCTTTGATGTTCTTGACCTGATAGTTTTGGACTCATTGGAAATGGTTGTTTTGCTGCACTTTGGCATGTAGTTCATAATGACATTTGACATGTAGAGTAGGTTCAGGCTTAAAATCCAGTTATTAAAATAAATTGGATATCGTACAACTATTTTCAAAAGATGCTAAATATTCAAAAGATGCTTTTATGAGTTGATTTTTTTTAACCTAATTGGCCAGGGATAGTTTTGTTTATATTTTCGATAAAAATGAATGCTCTCATTGCTTGAGTGTTCAACTCAAGGACAATTTATATCATGGGAAAAATCAGTAAATGTTCCTCCACAGCTACCCTGGAGGCTGCTGTCCACCTCCTCCCGTGCCACCATCCTGCTCTGCGGTTCCTCGCTGTGGCTGAGCACGATGGCTGCAGCGAAGAAAGTACTCAAAGTTCATTGGCAAAGCAGCATGCAGCCAGCTACTCACCTGGACCAGACCGAGCATGTGTTTAATCATCTTTTTAACTGATTAATATACTTTAAGAGTGACTGAGAGGCAGTGAGAGCAGCCCAATGTTAGATTTAAAGTTCACTAGGAAAAAAAAATCATTCAAGGATTTCACAAGCAATGACACTTGGATGGTATTTGGGAAATCTTTTTCTTTCAAGACTATCTTGCGATTAACTATGGGAGCAGTACATCAAAGCTGCACTGACTTCAAAGCTCAGAACCTCTTACGGCTTCCAGCTATTACTAAAACCTACCACTTCACCCTGCCAGCAGCTCATCTCAGCTGCCTCTGCAAGTTACACCCATCTACTTCCTGCCTCCTGGTTTTGGGGAGGGAAAAAAAAGAAAAAAAAGAAAAAAAAAAGAACTTGTAAATTAAATATAGCTGTTCACAGTGAAGCAATGTCAAAGTCAGGGGAAAAAAGCAAATGGAGGCATTAAGATGTTAAAGATCTAGTACAAACTCAGCAGTGATTTGCATATGCACAGTCTCATTTGGCCAGCTCTAATGAAGCTGTCTGTGTGGAGGAAGTTTCCTGACCGTGTTGCAACCCCCCATAAAAGCCCCCAAGTGAAGTGAGCAAGCTGTGTAGGCCATTATTTAGATCCAGATGTTAGCTATCAAACCGGGAGCCCTGTACAGGAGGCTTGACGGATGGACAAAGTCTGCACTGTTGGTAGCTTGGCACAGGCAGAGCTGCCTTGGGACACCAGTACCATCATCACTTCAGCATCGCGTATCTCGAGGTTGGCTCTCATCTATGCTCTGTAGCGTCCTCTGATTTGCAAAGGGGCATACGTTCACACACATCCGCACACTACACCTGAAGCAGTCTGTAGGTACTGGGCAATTGCCACAAAATTATCAATTCTCCTGCATTATCAGGGGAGATTGTGGAAGTAAAGTTTGTGTATTTGATATTTTTGGAGTCCGTGAAAGAACTCATTTGTAATAGTGTGGGACTACGTTACATTCTCTGAACTGATAAAAGAAGCCTAAATTGTACTGAAATTGTAATTTATTCTAGTATTAATATTATTCAACACTTAAAATTGTTACATTGTTATTTTCTGATTGGGAGTTTTATGCCTACGGTTTTTAAAATGGTACATTAATCTCTGAATAAAATTTGTCTTGCAAATGACATATTAATAGAAAGTTAGGAACAAGCGCGAGTCTTTGAGTGTGTTTTATATAACAGTTTATACGTTCGGTGCAGATCAATGACATGCTCTCTAGAGCTAAATGCCATTAATCCATTTACAGCCGCTCATTGCAATGAAGAGAAATTACCGGTGAAAGAGCTGACGATCCCTCTGCTTCCCTGCCTAGCCTCACGTTTTGGAAACACCCCCACTGTCTTTGCAAGGGTTTCGAGTCATCCCCTTTGTCCTGCTGCTGCTGGCAAAGAGGCCTTCAGCCATCGCCATCAGGCCTACAGGGCACCATAGGCCCCCAGGGCCTGTGGAGGAGCCGCCATGTGGTGCCAGCCGTGGGCTGCGGGTCACGGGAGGTGCAGGGAAGGGAGACAGGGCTCTGGCAGCCTGGGGGGGAAGGATTGCTGTCCCCCCCACGTTACGGAGCTGTACGAGGCAGCAGGGACTCGCTGCTAAACCTGACAGAGGCATGGCGAGCGTGTGTTCTGTCTGAAGGGCAGGCCACTGCTGTAGAAGTGCGAAGGCAGGAGGAGGCAATCATAATGCCGTACTATTTGAAGTAGATTGTTACGATAGAGCCAGGTGTGATTCCATGAGTCGTGATTTTGTGTATTTCACTGTGTGATAGATCATTCTTCTTCCTCAAGAATGCCTTTCCCTCAAATATGCTGTAGAGTAGGAACAGCACAGTTATTTGAAGTTCATTGAAAATATAGGAGGACATCATGTTTCCTGTCCGTATGTTAAACTTGGCATATTGATTTTTTCTGCACAGCTTGCAGCATGGAAATGTGATCTACAGCTATGGCAAGGCAAGCTAACCACATGTGAATTTGTTAAGTACTGCTGGATTAGCAGGAATCATCGGACTGTGCAAGCACAGAGACTTGACTTCTGTAACTCTGCATTTATGACTAAATCAATTAAAATAACAAGTTTTGATTTTATTGTCTGTAAACGAGTAAGCACGAATCATCTGCAGAAGCTATTGTTTCACATGCCTGCTTGTTTTCACAGCGTAAACTCCCCATAACTTGGCTACAGTACCTGAACAGGCAGAGCTGCCGCTGAAGTTGGGGAACAAATATGTAAAGATTCAACAAATATAGTTGGCCACTGTCTTTTATGTTAGTGCATAAAATTCAGAAGAGCATGCTGCATTTTTAACTTGCAGATTTTTTTATCTAAATTTGCCATTATTTTTCTGTGTATATTCTTTGCCTGGTTAATCTTTTTTTCCCTTTATGTTCAAAGATACTGAGATTATGGAAGCTACCGGCACTGCAGTCTGCATTTAAATGTAGTTACAGTGTAGCTGTGCAGAAAGCACTCTTCTGATGTGAGGCTGGTTTGCTCTTCTCTCTACATTATTAAACCTCCTTAAACTCCTCCATTATACCATTCACCTTGCTTGACTTCAAAGAGTACAGCGGCTGCGTCGCGTGGCTGAGCCGTAACTCTGCCGAGCGCATTACCTGTGGCTTCTCAGAAATGCTAATGCATTATCTACCGTGTTTATGAAGTTTTCTGTTTGGTGTTGGATTTGGAAAACCACTCTCCATCTCTAAAATCAAAACATTAAAACGTCCAAGACAAAGAAAGTGATCGAGGGTATTTAGGGATTTGAAATTATTGCTTTTCACCTTCAAAAAACAGTTTCCATCAAAATAAAAATGTAAACCAAACGGTTAATTTCAGGGGAAAGCAAAGCTGGCGCTACCCCCAAATAATCTCCTGAGTGCAGTCTCACCGAGTCACCTACAAAAACAGTGTGCACTAATGCCTGGCTTATCGCTTGGAGTTTACTGGGAACTAATCTGTTCAAAATGTTTGGAATAAGCTAAAACCTGGCTTGCTCATCTAATGAAAAAGGTCAAAGCAGAGAAGAAAGTGCCACTGGTTTGTGTTAGGTGACACTGTGCCCTGCTTGTCTAATTTGATTACACAGAGCCACTGAAGCCCCAGGCAAAGCTGATTTTAGCTATAATCAGCTTCTTAACCTTTTGAGAACTAACGTAAACACTACCTACCAGTGGTTAATTATGTTGCTCTGTTACACACAACAAAGTGCAAAGGTAAAAGTGTAGAACTACAGTAACACATGTTGTGACAAGATTACTCACAGGGATTACAGCCTTCTGTGTTTTATCTGCACTTATTGATTTCTTTCTTAAAAATTAAAAACGGGTTATGAGCAGGGAGCATCAGTTTATCACTCTTAAGCAGTATTGCCCTGTCATGCTGTTGTCTCACCTTCAATTCCTCCTGCGTGTGGAAGGAGAGACCTAGTACGGGCTGGGCTGGTGTGGAGGTGGATTTGTTAATTTTTGTTTATTTCAGATTAACGTTGTTTTAATTGTTTGTCTGTACTAAATCATACATGTTCTCTTCCTCTATGACGAACATCTTCCAGAAAGTTTTGGAAGCTCTTTTGGCAGATACTTGATGTCTGTGTGAGACATCTGTCTCTAGGTGGGATAAATGGGATGAACTTTTCTTTCTTATTTTGCATATAGTTATTAGCCAAGAACCGAAGAGCTGAGGTCCAAAAACTGACTCTCTGCAGAGCCCGTATATCCTAGTTTCCCATGTTGTTTGCTTCATACACTACCTATATTTTGCCAGGAAATTTGCATCTCCATATACTTCTAGACTTCTAGGAGACTTGTAAGCCAACAGACTTGCAGTGATTTTTAAATTTTCCTGACCTGTGCTGATCCCTGATGTTTATGTGAGGAAGCATTGATCTGTTCACCTTCCTTATGTGCTTGCTGCTCTTACAGACTTTCTTCGTGGAGGTAACAGGCTGTGTCTTTCTGAACTTTGCGGTCCACGGGAGTGGAGTTAATTTGCTCTCTCTGTGTCCCACTACTCACCAACGCTCTTCTCTGATAGTCTCCACCCGTAATGAATTATGGTTGTGAGCAGGATCATCAGTATGGGTGTTGCAGGGGCAGCCTGGTGCTGCAGAGCTGAACCACCAGGATCGATGTGCAGCTCTTGGGAGCTTCACAGCCCTTCTGCCCGCATGCTTCCCACCAGCTTTCAGAGTGGAGTGCTGTGACAGCAGATAGATTAGCTGGGGTGTGGTTGTGCTGGGGAAATAGATGAGCCCTTGCTTCATTCAGGTGCTTATTTTATTAACTAAGAAAGATTAATAAAGCCATAAGGACCAGAGTTAGCAAGGCAATAATGCTAAACAAAACACTATTTACATAAGAACAACAATAAATGATAACACAACACATGCACACACATAAATCTCGCTGACACATGGTCCTTGTGGTTAGGTACAAGGTCAGAGTTGGTTTCCTTTTCTTGCAGTCAATAGCTAAATATGTGTTTACAGTACACATATTTGTCTCTGGCAAGGTTATAGTGTGTTGGGACAAGACAATGCAGACTTCTAGCTTTTGAGTTTTGGAGAGATGGCAGATTCACTTAGCTGTGTGCTGCAGTGCCAGCATGGTGGTGAATGGATCCTCAGGACAAGAAATAGATCCTCGTGTTAGGGACTCGGTCTTCATCTCAGGCTCCAAGATTTTCTACAGAAAAGGCATATGCTTAAGAAAACTGAGTCTGAATGTCACCCCTTTCGGTTTCTTGCAGATTTCAGCATTTAACTGTAGGGGTTTTCTCCTGTTCTGGTGGCCCTTTAATATCTACCATCTATCATGCAATAACTTCTGACTGTGCCCTGATTTTATTTCCAGCAGGTGAGGTATGGAGGGTGGTTCTGCTGGCATAAAGGTGACCTCATCTACTGGTTGCAAATAATGTTTTCGTAGGTTTCATGCAGAGTGCATTTTCCCCGTATAGCTGTCACGCAACTCTTTTCTGACATACTCTAATCATTCCAGGCTCTTTGCTTTTATTTATAATAATAATTAAAAAAAAAAAGTATTGGCTGTATATATCACTATGGCATTATTCGCATTTCCTGAGCTGGTAGAAAGCTTCATCTCTAGCATAATGGCATGCCATTATTCTGAAGCAATGGGATGTTTTTCGATGTCTTTTCCTCCACAAAAAAAAAGAAGCAGTATCAGATTCTCTCTTCTGATCCAGCTGTCAGAGCTGGGTGGAAAAGACTGCTGAGACAGGTCTGCAAAATCCATCACTCTCCACATTTAGGACTAGCTGTCCTCGTGCCTTCCTATTTCCTCAACTCGTTCCAGTTACAGGGAGGCTTTATGCAAAGTTTCTGCCACGTGAGTACCTGCGCTGCTCCGCAATTGCTGTCCAGGGACTCTTTCTGTTGGGCTAATTGTGTAGACTAGTGCAAGGCAACGAAAAGCAATAAAGCACAGGAGCTGGAGCAGCGTCTTTTTCCAGCAGAAAGAAACTTCAGGGCCCCTGCTCAGTAGTTAGCTTAGCTTCTGGAGCACATGGCAGAAGATACCAGAGTTTGCCTGCCTCTTAATGAGTTAGGTAACTTTCTGGATTGCTCACACAGGAAATTAAAGACTTTGCTCCATTGCTGGGTACTCGCAGAGGCAAGGGAGGCAGTGCTGCTGCCAGCGGCACTGCGGCACCAGCACTACCTCTGCCTTGACATAGGAAGCAGCTGCTCTTCAGTCCCTCTTTGAGGGACAGCCTTTCTTCCTATCAACTGCCACGAAACATGAAAGTACAACTGCTCCTGACTGCTCCTACTGCGTGTCACACAGTACTGGGATCACAGCGACAACAGATTTTGATCCAGATCTAGCAGAAGTGGGACCCTGAAGAAGAGGAGTGTGGCTTGTACAGGGGTGAATTTATCAGAGGCTTCAGAGCAGATCACAAGAGCTAGAGTCAAGCAATAGTTCCCTTTCCCCCCAGAGAATAAACCACTACCCTTTTCAGCAGCAGACAGAGAATAAGTCAACAAAGACACGTTGCTGCAGAAAAGATGAGCCTTTTCCTGAAAGGTCGTAGCTTACAGCTTGCCAACCAGGTGAGGCTTCAGCCAGGACGGGAAGCAGAGCTGATGGAAGAGGAGTAGGAACTGGAGAGCCTCCAAAAGAAAGCCGCAAACATGATGAGAAGCCTAGAAAACATGGCCTTCTGAAAAAGGTTGAACGACCTGAGAAGGCTTTGCCTAAAAAAAGAGGGTTGAAAGAAAGAACATGGTGCAAATCATCAAGTGTGCGAAAGACTGCCGCGAAGAAGAGAGGAACAGTCTGTTCTCCGCACACTTGGTAAATAGTACAAAAAGTGATAAAACTGCAGCAGGGCAATTTTAGGTTAGAGTTTAAGAGAAACTTTCTGATGGTTTGGCTGGAGGATACTGCATACAGGCCTCTCTTACTGGAGGTGTGCAAGGGCAGGTCAAATACACAGACGTTTGCCAGAAATTGACATAGGTGCAGATGATCTTGCCATGGATCAGGGCATGGAGTGTATGACCTAGAGACATCTCTTTCATGCTTGCTGGTCTATGACTGTATGAACAGGCAGAAAAAAAAATAAAACCTCAAGGAATGAAAATTCAGATTGCACTCTCAGGTTCATCATTTTTAAGCTGTTTCTGTAATTTTGGAAGCACCCTTACTGTCTTTTTGAAGATATACTGAAGACTGTACTTAGCATTCAGGTGAAGCTGCTTAAGTAATGGCAAATAGAAGTATTTTTTTGGATGTTTGCAAAAACAATACATGGATGAGAGTTTTGAGCTTTGTTTTCTGGCATGTGTGTTGGGTAAAATTACCTGTTGGCTTTGGCATGATGTGGAGGGAGAAATGACAGCTATTGATAACAGCTTCCTCCCCAGTTTGACATCTCAGAGCAAAAATAGGTCTGTTAGGAAGTGTTAACCAGGAGGATACTACCCTCTGTTACTGGTTTTGATGTCCAAAGCGTACACAGTCAGGGAGTAAAACAAATATATGACTGCTTAGAGTGGCACTTGCATACTGGGAATAACAAATAAGCCTTAGTAAAACATTTATGAACACTCCATTTACAAATTCATTTAATACATACATACAGCAAACAGATTGAAATCTGGATGGCTTTCTGAATTTACTAACCAGGAAAAAAAAAAAAAAAAGATGCATTTATAGCTAATGTTATTTGTACTAAATAAACAAACACTTTGTATTGCATAGTAAAATGCATAAGAGTAAACAGTGAACTCTTCCTTGTATTCATGCTAATTCCAGAACATCTTGGGGCAAGTGAAGTGCAATGGATTACATTAAAATAAATTGTGCTGATCGGTTTGCTTCTGATCTTACAGCTTGCAAATAATTCTTTGCTGAGAACACTAGTACCTTTAGCAGCAATTGTGTGGGCTCTGGCCAGCTTCATTGCCAGTCTGTTCCCAGGAAAGAAAGGAGTGAAGCGTTCTTGCATCTACTACTTTTTCTGAAGAATCAAGGAATGGTTTGGAATAATGATCTGGCTGAAGAAAAAAAAAAAAATACAGATCCAATCAAAACAGTCTCAGGAACCTTTTTTTTTCTTTTTTCCCAGAGGTCAGATCCCCAAACTCCTGGGAGTTTGGACGGTGGGGATGCTTTAATAAATGTGCAGTGATAAAAGTGCCAGATTGAAGGTTTCTGAAGTGCTACTGTCCAAAATCACCAGCCATGCTTGAAACTAGTAATTCTTGACAGAACAAACACTCTCAGTATGTGACTTTTAGCTGCAGGGGGCAGAGCATATGCTTCAGTGCCAAAAAGTGGTGGTTTTTTTTTTAATTGTATTTGTGTCATAACCTCTTTTATTACAGTTTTAAGTTCTTTTCCTATTTCAGTGTTCAAGGTTTGCCACGAAAACCCAACTGCAAAAAATTCTGAAAGCCCGTAGTTTGTTTAAGAATTTCTGAATCTCTAATTGATTCTTTGCATTATAGGCTGATACAATACTCGGTAAACGCAGCGACATTTTAATTCTCCTTTTTTTTTTTTTTTTTAAGATTAAATAGGAGAAGGCATTTTGTCCCTGAAGGTTTTATCTATAGTTGCTTTGTTAATTCAAAATATGCCTCCTCTTTATCAGTCTAGTATGATTTAATGAATCAGTTCTGAAACTGCTGAGCACCCAGCATTCCCATCACTTCTCAGTACCACTGGGACATGAGGATCCTGAGCATTTTTAGAAGGTGCCCAACACCTTGTGGGACTTTACCATTAGTTCCATGACTGAGCAAGGAGACTCACTCAGTGCAGTCACAGAGGTGTTCAGCACGAGTCTGCCTGCTTTTCGGGGCATCCTGCGTAATTTAGCTTGGTAGCAGAGCACGTGCTTCTGGCAAGGACAGCAACAGTTTGGGTTGCTTTTGAATTTTGCTCTTCCCCAAGAGCTCTTTCCCTCAGACTCTCAAGACAGACCTGGAGTCGTGTGGCCCATGCCTACTGCCTATAAGAGCAGATACCTTTAATAGAGATTTGCTGAACTTGGGAGCACAGAGAGGGTTAAAACCCATTTGGCATATACAAATGAAAGAGTTGGCGTTAAGGGATCTGGTAGGAAGAGGAATTGGTCTGCCAGGGATGTAGCTAATTTATTACAAGGAGCAATTGCTGTGGCTTGGTAGAGCCATTTCTCAAATCTGCACTTGCAAATTCCAAATACATTACTTTTTCTGTGTGTTGTACCTCCTTGTCTTTTGATTTAATTCAATTTAAAGATCATGGATGATGGCATTAGGTGTTGATAGTAGAATATGTTGTTTTGCATATAAAGATGGCGTAGTCTTCTCAGAACATTAGCAAGTTGTCACAGCAGCTATGAAGCTTTCCACAATGTACAGCATCGCAAATATCAAATGTAGACAACTATTTTCTTCTCATTTATAGCTTTATAGTGAATTGGTGGTGGTCTGTATTTTATTTAGATTTGCTGCTGTGACGTGGCCAATTGCTGTCTTGCATTTTTTAACACAAACTACTTGTCCAGATAATGGCATGGAAAAGAAAAAAAAGCTGGAGAATATTTCAGCAAAGATTGGTAAGGCTCAGAAATAGGAAGAGATTTAAAAGGAAAAGGATTTTTTTTAATTTTATGATTTTTATCTTGTCATTATTAATTGAAGTTTAAGGAGTCTGTGGAGGCAGAAGTGCCTTAGCCAAAGCTGGAGACAGAAAATTGAGCTCAGAGTGCTCAGTCGGGTCATACTGCACCTACACGAGTGAACCCACAGCATCTGCTCACCCCAGCCTGCTGTGGGTGCCCTGAGCCTGGGTGGGCAATGAGGGGATGGACAGCACTGTGTGTGTGCACGCTACAAAACCAGGGTGATCTGCGCCGTGTGACAGACTGCTGCATGCCTATGTAACTCACTAACAAATCCTATAGCTAGAGGCTGAAGAGAAATCTTAAAAAAATATATATTCTAAATTTGTCTCTCTGTTGTGATGGACGAGATGAATATGCAAATAGATGAGAAGTGTGAATATTTTTTATTCTGTCCCAGGCAATACTAGAAATGAAGGTACTGTGTCAAGGGACTTGGAGAGCAGGTCACAAGACAGAGCTTTTTGCCTGTGTCACCAGTGGTCACACAGCGGCAAAGCCAGGGTTGTTTGTGTCTCATAGGTGAAATTACTTACAAAATTTGGGATTAATATGAAGGCAATTATGTCTTCATAACCCTTGGCCATTAATGGGTTGGGAGGGAGAGCAGCAACTAACTCCCCAGCAGCCGTGGTGCCCACAGGTACTTTTCCATAAGTTGACATCCTTCCACTGCAAAAAACGTGCGTTTGTGCTAACATTCTGGGTGTGCTCATTTCTGCTAATTCGGCCTGGTGGGCCACCCTTCCAGCAGAGGGGCTAGACGAGCAGCGGGGAGCAGCAGCACTTCCAGCCCCTGCAGCTGAGTCTGCAGGAGGCTCGTGTGCTGGAGCCCTGAAATGTGCTCCCCAGCCTGGAGTGGTTTTTGGAGCATGTGTAGACATATTGTCAGGGTACATGGAAGTGCTTGTACTAAGACTGCCTGTTCTGCAATGGTTTGGAGCACAAAGTATTTCAGTTTTGAGGTTTATAAATTGATTATTGTTTGCAGTACTGATACGAAAGAATGCCACTCACAGTGTTACCAGTCCCTTTGACAGCCACCAGTTCCGTTTCTTTACATTTTTGTAGTTCATAACTTTTTCCCAGTCTTAGTTTATCAGTCTATGTGTATTTTTCCAGTCATCTAAAGCCATCTGAGGACTCAGACTGGCACCAGCATTAGTGATGGTCACGGTCAGTTCTGCGCAACTTCCCCACCCACCAGTTCCTTGCCTACAAAGTGTTCTGCAGCTTGTGAAATGGTTAGCACTTTGTCCAAAACATTCTTGTTTAAAGGTGGTTTTAGGACGTGAGGCACTCAAGGTACATCAGCAGACAGAAGTGCTGCCTACAGCAGGCAGCTGACAACAAGCCTGGGCCTCTTCCCTTAGCAGCCCGCAGTGGGGAGAGGACACCCTTCAGTCTGACCAGGTCATGCAGTTTAGGTTGCCTCTCCTTGTGCCACTTGCAGCTTCAGAGCCGGATTATCACAGAGCTATTTTCATCCCATCGGGTTACAGAGTCCATTATTTCTGCCATTTCTATGCTTGCGCCCCGTGTTTTATTTGCTGTTGAGTGCTAAAACTCTGTCGCTTCTTGAAAATCTGATCTGCTTGCCCTGTTCAAACACAAGTGTTGAGTGTCTCAGAGTGAGCGATCAATAATAACAAAGCCATGAGATACATCAAGTACTAGTCTGCAAACTGAGCTACGCAGAATTTGAGTAAAATAGATGTAAACACTGAGGTTTTGCAAGATGTGCCATGCATCAGCAGGCTAGACTGCAGAAGGCAGGATGTTCTCAGTCTGACAGACAGTAGCTCGGACTAGAACTGGTGATATAAAATAGTGGTGTGTTCTGGGGCTATTTACTTTGCAAAATTCACTTCTTACATGTATCAGTGGATAAAAAAAAAAAGAAAAATAATAATAATAAAAAAGCCCATCCTGACTGTGCATAGCTGGGGTCAGCCAAACTCCCCATGCCACAGGCAAACCTTGCTCCCCTGCAGCATCACTCCCAGCCACCCGGAGTGATTTTGTAAGAGGGTTTTGGTCCTGGAGCCGTACCTTGATGCCAGATGTGTTACATTCTGCATGGGTGCTACACCTCTGATGTTTAATTGCCGTCCTGCCATGTGGTCCGGGTGTGTTTTTTGTCTGCTGGCCACATGAGCCAGATGGGGCTGCAGAGCTGGTGAGTCTGCAGGAGGAGGGTTGTGATAAAAAAACACTCTGGCAGAAGCGTTCAGGTGGTCCATCTGTAGGCTTTTTTATGTTTTTGTCTACAGCTGTCTGCTCAGCTCTGCCATCTCAAGTGGCTCTTGGTTGCAACGTAAAAGGCACAGAGAAAACAAACCTTCCTGAATCAGAAAGGTCAAGAAGAAATCCAGTTTGACCGAAGGGATCTTTGGCATCTCCTCACTGTAATCCTCTTCATTTCTGTCTCCCTACACTTGCTTACCCATCAGGGCCGGTGGCTCCTGATGACAAACCTCAGCCTTCAGAGGTGCCACCAGCTGCCTCTGGGACGTGCATGGAAGCTAGCTTGCCTGAACGTGCCCCCAGATGTCTCTGTGCTTTGCCTCCCCATCCCTAAAGCAGGAGTGCTGCTGCTTAATCCTGTAAATGTGACCCAGGCTGTGGGACACTCAGATTTTGTGGAGATGAAGGCATACGGAAACACAAGACAGAAAACGCCAGAGCACAGAGAATCTGTTTATTTTTGCTGGGATATTTCTTCCGGAAGGAGGAGCCACATTCAGAAAACGGCTTTAGCAAAATCACAGCCAGCTGCTGTGAAAACACCATCTGAAGTTTGTTGGAGAATTACAGGAGAGGGAAGAGGGAGACCACACTGCTGTCACTGCTGGTGACAGGAACATGCGAGTGCGAGGATCTGGCCCTGGCCGTGCTGGCGTTTGGTGTAGTGGAACCGAAACATCAGAAGTGGTTGGAAGATGTGTAACCTGTGGCAGTCCATAGTATTTACAAATGAGAAACTGAATAAGTATTTACCACTATGATCATTTAAGGCAAACAAGTAAACCATGTGATACCCTTCGAAACAGCAAAATAGAAAAAAAAAATTAAAATCTATAATTTTAATCAAAAGTTTGTTTCAGTCATTGAAATTCTGTTATTGCTGCTTACAAACATTAAAGTCAATCAAAACATCAGTAGCCTGAAAGATCAATATTTTTAATATGTTTGCATTGCAGTGCTGCAGATTTTTGGCTAATGGATCTCACCCATATTGATTTCCATGGGAAATGTTAGTCTGATACTGAAATAATTAAAAAAAAAAAAAAGCCAGGGATTATTGGTTTGGAATTTTGAAGGAGATAGAAGTATAAAAATTGGTTATTGACTGAATTGCTTGGGGTGAATGAACCTTGGGCACTTGCAATAAACTTGTAGCACAGAGTCATTACTGAATACTACCTTAGTCCCGTAAACCTAAAATCAGTCAATAACCTATTATAACAATGCAAATTGTGGTGAAATAACATAGTGGGTCCTTTTCAAAGCAGCAGGATATTCATAAGCATCTACATACATACATGGATGGATGCATTAAACAACCTCTGCAACATGCACAACAGCAGCTGATTTTCAAGTTTATTTTAATGCATCAGGTTTATGTTGGTGTGAATGCGAACGGCTTGAATTGAAGTAATTGTTTCAAATAAGATTAATGGCTTTGCAACTCCTAAAATGAATAAAAGTACAGCAAAGTGCTGTATATAAATGCATAAACAAATGTATCAATACTGTCCCAGTTCTGGGCAAATGCTGTTTTGTGGGTTTGTTTGTGGGTTTGTTTGTTTTTGTTTTTGTTTTCGTATTTATTCTGTTGTGGGGGGGAAAGCAAAAGCAGTGACCAGCCTGAACCAGCAGCTGGAGCGGGTCTGTGCTCACCCACTGCTGTCCCCCATAGGTGTCCATGCTTTTTATTCAGCCCCTTATTCCATAAGCATTGTGATTTCATTTACCTAGCATGTTCATCTTTTTTTTAGGAGAGGATTCTCCCTTTTTTTTAAGAGAGGATTCTCCCTGGGAATCCTGTCCCTGTGGCACCTGGGCATCATGATGGTGAAATAAATCAGTTCTCTGATGCGGGATATCCCCTGCATTCCCAGCCAGGGACTGGATGCCCTTACCTGAAGTCAGGCAAGTCTTTACTGGCTAGAATGCTAATTTTTATTCACAGTTAAATGAAACACCTAAGCAAAGCGATGCCTTTCGGTTCCTGGTTTAAAAATGATCTGAGACTCTCTTTTGCTCTGTGCTGGAGACTAATAGCTTGAGTGTTTCTGCTAAAAGTAGGCACTGCAGTGTGCAAGTTGTCAAGTGAACTATATTTTCACCTGAGCTGTATAAATATTTAACACATGTATACTAACGCAGCGGTGATAACTCGGTGCCTGTGATAACGTGGAAAAGAGAGGTCATGTTTATATTTTACTATTAGAAAATTTAATCTATGGATGTTTTCTGATTTCTTCTCCCCGATATGTTACTCTGATCATACCTGGCAAGGAACAAAGTGGGCTGCGCTGCCGCCACTGTGCTTGGGTCAAAATTTGGGGAAATTCTCGACGTGAGCAGCTCAGCAGAAAGCTGCAGAGGCGGGATCAGTACTCAGAGCCTGGGTTTAACTACAGATGTCTGACAACAGGCAGGTTACTGCATCCTACCAGAGCCTCGATGGACCAGCACCATTTGGGAATAACTCTTAATGAAGTCTAAAATTTCTCAGTAAACTTGTTAATAGGAGCCTCATCATTGGGAAACTACCTCTGTAGTTACTCTTCAAGTCACGTAATTTCTGAATAATTAACATCCTCCCGCTTGCTGGAGCCGTGTATTTAGGACAGGGAGATGCTGGCGCAGCAGGAGCCAGTCCCACAGTGCAGGTCCAGCTCCATCCCTGCCACCATGTGAGACCCCTCACGTCTGCATGACCATACGGGAGGTGGGCTGGTTTTGAGCCCTTCCCCTTTTCATTTTTCCTGGGCTGTAATATGTTCCCCTTTTTAAACCTTTTTCATTGTTTTCCAGGTTGAGATCAGGGCAGCATTTCAGAACAAAGCTTTCCTGTGCTGCATCCCAGGCCTGCTAATGCCTGCCCATGTTCTGTCATCTCAAAAGGCTTGGTAGAAAGATGAGGCGTGTTTCCGAAAAAACAAGAAGTGAGGGAAGATAACGTCTCTTGTCAAAATCACTCTTTCTCATGGCTTGAAACTTCTTAAACTAACTAATAAAAACAAAGGTTTTGCCTTTCTTCCTCATGTGAAGCAGAGATTAAGTATATGCAGGGAGGGACAGTGATAAAGGGAGATGAGAACTCCTCCATGCCTAGAATTTTAATTTTTGTCTTTTCTTTTTGGGGGGGAGGGGAAGGAAAAGGTTTAAAAAGGAAATATAAGTAATAGTGGATTTTCCCACATGTTTTTAACACATTTGTCTCACCTTGTACAATTCAGAACAGAGAGAAATGTTTGAGGCTTAGGATATTCCCTAAAGAAACCAAACAAAAACATCCAAAAAAATCAAACAAAGCTATGTGTTGTTTTTTTTTCCAAAACCTATGTAAAAAAGATTAAACATTATAAACTGGGAGTTGCATAACAAGAGAAATTACAGGGGATCTTAGGGAAAGTTTAAATGATGCAGGAGTAAAGGGGAACAAAACATCAATGGCAATTTGATGATCTGAAGCAGGAAGGAAGAGGCAGATCTGGAGCTGGTGGAGCTGTCACAGCCAGGTCAGGGCTGGGTGAGGGCACAGAGGAAGTGTGAAGGCAGGGGACTTTCAGCCCAGCCTGCACAGTTCCCTTCCCTACAAGGGCTGCAAGCACAAGAGACAGAGACCAGGTCCCTATAAAAGCACACCAGCATTTTTCGTTCTGTGTGCCGTACCACACTGTATTTTGGGGCAAGCAGCCTGAAGAGTTACCCTGGAAGTGTCATTTATTTTTTGGATGGGAAATGTTCATATGGAGAAAGGGCCTGAGCATCAGAGCTGGCAGCCTGCAGGATGGGGCTGCAGACCCCTCGCAACAGTTTTCTGGTTCAATTGTAGCTTAGCCCAGACCCTTGATTTATGACCGTGTCCCTTGTCTTCTCTAGACCCTGTGTTTTGTGCCCATTGCTTTGCCTCCACGTGGCATAGTCAGTGAGATGGTTCAGGAGAGGTCTCTCAAGCTCATGTGCCAGGGGATGTTGCTACACCTGAGTGTGAGGCATTAAGCAGTTCACTGCTTTTGCTTTTCCTTGTTCAGAGGAAGAGGCCAAAGATAATACAAGCTGCAATGATTTCAGAAACACAAAGAAAAAACCAACAGTAATAAAACATACAGAACTGCTAAAATATGGGGTTCACCACAGAGCAGCAAGACAGTTCTTTTTTTCCCTGAGTAGAAGCTTGTTCCTCAGCATGGCTTGAAACAGATGTCTCAAATCTGTAATCTGATTGTATAGGCTACAGGAAAAATCCTCTACTCAGGTACACGATGTCTGCATGAAAACAAATAATAAGCAGGAGCTGGTGCGTCACAGAGTCAAAGACACTTTGCCTTGAGTTTGCAATTACTTTATTATTCATCATGGAGAAGTTGCACAGGTTATCCTTGGAAGGTGACACGTATGCCTCATCTGATACAGAAAGATGGATTTTGTTAATTTGAAACTCAGACCAGGACCCAAGGACTTCGAAGAAGTAGCCCAAATTTCAGCCTCTGTGTGGTGACAGCATATTGGCAATCAAAAATACAGCTTTAGAGAGCTGTTCCTTCATGTTTCGGTCATGTAGTTGTGTTTCTGCCACAATGCAGGAGGTACTGCTTTCTGGCGATGTCACCAGGTATCTTCCAAGCGCTGTTACCATAGTTTCACAGTATTTGTGTCTGTTTTCAAGATTAGAGAAGATCACTGAGCTGATTTAGCTTTTTAGTTACAATAACAGTATTTCTCTTATTAGTCTGCAGGTAAATTATGATGGAGATTGGCTTGTTCTTAAGTACAGGATTTGGAAAACTAAAATATTTGCTATGGCCCCAGTTCAGGGAAGTATTTGAAGCATGATGCCATGGGATGCTGGGCACCAATGCATCTCGTTGAATTTAATACAGATCAGGGATGTTTGGCATCCTGCAGAACTGAATCACCCATCTAATACTTTGAATGTAGTGCATACTGAAATCTTCTTGGGAATTCAGGCCTGCTGAGATGAATCGTGAAACCTGTAGGCTTCAGTTACACGTATACATTTGTATATGCAAAGTAGTTAATTCTGCATGTATTTGATAATTTCCTGCTGTATGACATACTGGTACTTTTGTAATGAAGTCTTCCAGGCAGGTAGTTTTTGTATATCCAAGTAAGGCAGCTCTAAAATAGGGAAGCTGTGTTAGTTCACTGGATATTGCTATTGTTACTGCAGAAAAATGCAGAAAAAAACAGCAGCTCCATGACATTTGGGCACTCTTATGAGCCTGTCCAGCAGTTAAGTTAAAATAGAATTAAATAAATTAAAATAAATAAGCAAATACCTTAAAGTAAATAAACAAAGTGTAGAGACGTGGTATTAAATCAATAGAGTATAACTTTCTGAACTTTCTGATAAGTTTTGGAGAGGCACCAGCCCCCTTTACAAAGGAGGTTAGAGGCAGTATGCAGTGGTTGTACAGGAGCCTCGTTTTGCAAAAATGCCTCCAGAGACACGGGTGTCAGCATACCTCCCCATTTCCACCCCCTCTACCCCCCTCTTTCTGTCATAATGGGGGAGAAATTGGTTCCGAATGTGTTTTCTTGACCCCCTACTCCATACATGTTATCACCTAACCTTAAATGATGTTTCTACAGTCTCGCCTGTATTTACAGTAATTATATGCATAATGTAGCATATTATTGTCTGGACTTCCTGTTTAATCAGTACAGAGCTTCTTACAAGTGCAGCTGAAAAGGGCAAACAAAATTAAAGCTTTATATACCAAAACAAGTTTGATTTGCTAAGCTCCCAGCATTCCAAAGTACACAGATTTGTTCCACCAAGTTTTGCGATGGCTTGCAGATGGGCAATGATTAATCAGAGAGCTAACTGTGAAGTAGTTTGCAATTAAACTGGAAAGCTCTGAAGCATGCTAATTGAATCAGAAAATTAGAGACACTGAGCAGTAATTGGCTATTTCTCATGCAGCAGGTGCCAGGCCACTCATCTGTGGAACAAGGTATTTAAGGCGCATTAGCACTAGTAAAAATACTTCTTGATATGGAACAGTTAGATTTTCTGCTCATTTTCACCATGGATGTCAAAACACACAGCTGTGATGTCTAGTGCTCACAGTTCATGCTGTAAGAGTTTGGGCAGGGTGGTCACAAACCTGTGTTCACGCAGTATTTTTAATCAGGTTGAATTTGGGGTGCCTGGGCACCTTTCTGGTCCTGGCAGACCCACAAATCCCTTCTCTGAGTTTGCTTATATGGGTTTTTGTTTGTTTTTTGAACATAGCTGGATGATTTTACCAGCAGCAGCTGACGATCAGGTGCTAGGGACTCTGTCCCCCAGCGCCCCTGTTCCTGCTCCGTGGGGAGAGGCCGTGAGCACCCCATGCAGTACTCTGTCCCCAGACCTGCTGAAAAAACAGAAGGGTCATTTCTGTGTGTGCTGGTTATAGATGTAAGTGTCAGCAGAGTGTGGGCTGCCGTGGTCCTGCGACACCGTGAGTGGGACGCAGTCACTTCTGTTTCATTCTTCCACAGGTCTTAAAAAAAATTACAAGTTTCTAGTTGAATATTAGTTGAGGGCATCAAGAGTATAAATCTAATACTGCTGTGAGCTTAGTAGATGCATAAAGCCAATTCATATCATGTCTCAGCGTGAGTTTATATCTTCTAATTAGTACCACAATTTTATAGAGAACACACGCAATGAAAGTTTGTTTGCCGTGCCAACAGGGACCGGAGCACATACAGTAGTTGTGCTGTAGCAGAGTGATGGTGCTGTATGAGCACAAACGGCTTGTAGCCTGAGCAGTAGGTAACCAGAAAAGAATGGGATTTAATAAGTGAAATGGTGGAGAGTTTTTACAGAGATATAACCATTTTCAAATTAGACTGGGTGGGGCGCATGATTTCTTTCTTCGTAACTAATTAGAGCTTGGTATGCTTATTAGTGAATAAAAAAAAAAAAAGGTATTAAAATAGAAATGCACTGCATCATATTACTCTGAGTATCGAGAAGCGGAATATTACAGTATTCAAATGCTAATCATATCACTTAGCAGATGACTGCAGAAAGTAGTGTATTTGAACTGAGACATAAATTATAAATTGTAAACAGTGCATAGGGGATATGTTATAACTGTGTCTCATTTAAATTAAGGCAGAGAGTTTTCTCTGAAGCAGATTATGTGCCTTCATTAAGTTTTAAAGTCCCCTCTATAATGTTTTATTAAGATGGCTTGGCACAGTGTTTCCCAGACTGGATGTTAGCAATGTGCAGTGGTGGAGGCGGCCGCAGCAGCGGCGGTTCGGGCGCCTCGACACGCTCCTGCATGCCGTCCAGCCAAGGGATCACACCCGTACAGTGGTGGCTTTTGTGTCCCGCACCCCTCCCCGAAAATCCTGGTGCCTTTGCTTTCTTTACTTGAAAGCAGCTCCAGAACATTTACATGATCAATGTTTGTTGCTGGAGGGATAAAGTTTGCTCTTCCATGGACAAGTGAGAACATATTGATCATTTTATTCTATTTGCTATTTCTAAATTCAATATACCTCTGGAGTCGATAAGCGAGATCGAGAGCATATTCTTTTTTGTGTGTGCCTGCTTGTAGCTTGTTCTCAAGATCCAAGATACATTTTTGATTAATCACGAATGCTCTGGGGTCATGGAGAGCAAATGTGTTTGTGGAGTGTCAGCTGATGCTGTCAGATAAATGTCTTAAGCTTAGCCAGGGTTCGTGCCCCAGCTTTAGGCTGTGCCAAATGTCTCCCCTTGTAGAGGAAGATAACAGCTACACTGGAGGCGACTGAGCTGTTTATTCACAGAAAGGGCTGACCTTGCCACATGGGGCTACACTCAGGTGAAAAAAAAAAAAAAAAATGGAAATGTTTTAATTGAAACTTGAGAAATCCTAACTTTCTGCAGCATCCCCCATGTGACCCAACCCAAGTGATTCCCTCATTGCCCAGCCTTGGTGCTGCTGGTCCAGGCTGTGTCCCTGTCCCTGATGAGGCTGGTGGCACCAGGGTGCTTGTGCTGTGGCAGAAAAGCAGGCAGAAGCCCTCCAGGCAAACAGAAAGGCTCCCAGGGGCATCCACAAGGGCAGCTTCACGTTCGGATTCTCAGCATCCCCAGTGAGCTCCTGGCCTGGCGAGGGGCAGCTGCCAAGGGATGCTCAGGAGTGCCTCCTCTTGTCCGTGGCAGGCTTTTGGAGTCAGGCACTGTTCATCAGCAGTAATTTGTCCTCCAAAACGAGTCAGAAGAGGTAGATAAGGAGTAGTGACACGATTGCTGAGCTAACACCTGGAGAGCGCTTTGTACCCAGGCTGTTTTGTAGTGCTGAAGGCAAAGAGATGGATCATATGGTGGTGCATAAATAAGTGAAAGCTCCCAGGGCTACTTGTGGGCATCAGTTGCAAACCTCCTCAAATCGGGGCTTTCTCTCCCTGCCATCTCCCCAAAAACGTGTTTGTTCTTTGCTCCAAAGATGATGCTCCACTTTTCCTTTCCTCTCAAGAAGTTCATACTGTCATGGGTAAATCATCGGGGCTAATTAGACTCAATAATGCTGCAAAAAAAATTCAAAAAAAGATATAACACATCTGTCATGAACTCCCACCAGATCTCTTGGAAATGAGACATTTTTAATATTTTATGCTGAACACAAAATATCTTGAGGAAATGGTTTTATATGCTGTGTACTAAAACAAAACCTTCAGTGTCAAATGAGTAATACTGTCTAAGCAGCCCCTTGAATGCTGTTATTTCAGATCTCACCACTCTTAAAATATGAATTTCATTTTAATAAAATGTACTCTGTATTAAAAAAAAAAAAAAAAAAAAAGTTGTAGGAAATAATGAAGAAAGTCCAATGTATGTCTGACTGTAAAACTGGTAATGTCTGTTCCTGTATCAGGGAACACTCCAGGCTTCAAATAAAATTTCAGCCTTAGAAACCCAGAGTTGTTTTTTTTTTAATGAGATCTTTTCGACGAACATCTAAATCAAATTAAATGCAAATATTTTGCACTTTAAACTGATTTTAACTAAACCTCTAGCTGCTTTTGTCCTGAAAATAACTGTCTTCCTTAAAACAATATTTAACATTGACGTTTGAGTCATGTGCTCCCAGTGTATGTCAACAGTTAAATTTGTCTGCCATGCCTACAAGGGGGACAGATGATGCATGTGAAAACTTCAATGTGCAAAAGTTGGGTAAATCCCTATTTTGTGTTTATTCTTGATGGCAAGTCACAGATACTTACTTATTACAAATACTTACCTGAATGACAGGAAAATGCACATATTCAAATTCTGTAAATCCCAATAAACTTCTAAATCATTCATTTAAATACTTAGCCTGAGATATGTTTCTTAAATATATCAGTAATGCTTATTAAACAGAGAAGCACACCCTGTTTGGCACACTGCAAATTTTCCTATGTTATGACCGCATTATTGGGGACATACAAAAAAAACTCTTATCTGTATATGTATGTATATATATATATATATATGTCTGCCCTGAGGCTCTGCTCAGCTGGAAAGGCAGGGTAGGAAAGGTGAATGAAGAAATAAAATTATCGACGGAATTAAATCAAAGAAACAACAGAAGTCTTTATCAGCAAATTTATCAGTACGGCTGTGCCAAAGATCTGCTGCAAACTGTTTATTGACCTAGGTCCTGCCTCAAGTTATTCTTTCCAGCATTATTTGGGATATTAAATATTCAAATTAGCCCACCTGAATTATGAATTACTTTCTGATTGTTTCTTCCTGGTCCTGTCCTTTTTTCTTTCTGGTTTGCAAATTGTCTGGCTGACTGTGAACTCCTTCAGCAGCTGCTGAACTGGACAGTAGACAGCTAGTTGTAGGAGAGACCATGTTAAAATTTATGCAGTTTAGGCACTCTTCTACAAATGAATTTCTCATTCATGTAAAAAAAAAAAAATTATTCAACCTTAAAATGCAGCTCAGAATGACTTTTGCCCACTTACCTATTTGGACGTTGTCCGATGAGTAGTTACCTTCGCAGGGTTAATCCAGGAGCTGAGTTTTGCCTGCAGGGTGCACAGCTTGGGTGCTTTGGGCCGGACAACAATGAGGTCCTCCAGCCTTTCCTGAGGCTTTTCATTATCAGCATGCTCTGAGTTTCACAGGCAGCATCCACTTGCCCTATTTTTCAACAATGTTGTATTAAGTGCCATCTCATTGCACTTGTGTCTTAAAGTTCATGGTCTGCTTCCCTTACAAATAGTGTTATTTCAGTGCACTTCTGGCTTTTAGACATAAAGAGAAGATAAGACCATGTTCCTTGTAGTCAGAATGTAACTTTAATGCATCCTACATGGGAATTAATATTTGTTTGTATCAGCACGTTAGTAGGGGCAAGAGATGTTTGCTTCTCTATATCTATACACTGTAAAAAAAGGTCGACCAACTATCTATTAAAAAAAAAAATCACCTAAATCTAACCAAGGGACTTTGAAAAAAAGCTAAGGCAGAGCTGTGCTTTAAATCCCAAATAAGTGTCAGCTAAGTCAGGCTCACAGAGGAGGTGTCTTACTCACTCAGCAGCAACATGAGGGACCTCTCTTCCCACCTGGGACTCTGGCAGATTGCTTTTTTGCCAAATGGGAAAAGGCACAAGCTTCCCTTCAGCTCGTAGGCTAGTGAAAGCAAAGCAAGAACATGCACTCACAGGATGGAAAGATAAAACTATGTGGATGTGAGCTGGCAGAGCGGGGGCTGACACCTCGCACTGGTTTGGACTGAAAGCATGGCTTTGACCTTTTTCCATGAGCTGGGATGGACGGTCAGGACTTGATCTTTCCCAGAGGTGAACACAAAGTGCCAGCCTCCTCTTTGTGCTGTGTTTGCTGGGGAGGAGTTCAGAGCTTCTCCTGGTGCCTGCAAAAGTGATTTCTTGACAAGACTCACAGGGTGCAAGCCACCAAAAGAGGTTTCCTCTGTCAACAGTGATAGAATAACATCCTTCTGCCATGTGATGTAGCATTCAGGTAAAGCCCAGGCTGTTTTTTTAACTGTTTCTTCCCCTTGCCTCCTCACTAACGTGTTTTTCTAGCAATTTTCAGATGGCTCGGTTAAGGGAAACCAGTGGGTTTTAGGCAGAGCACCACGAGCCTCAGCTATTTGGGATGCCTGGTTCACCTTGCCAGGGGTACCTGGGAATCTGACCTCCTGCCCTTAAGACATTTGTGGTAGAGACACGTCCCTGTATACCACTTCAGTACGTGCCCTGCCTGGCTGCTTTTTGAGCTTGAGACAGGCCAGTGTGCTTAGACATGACTTCGCTTCATCAGCGCCCTCCACGCTAATTCTGCATGACAGCCAGCCCTGCTCCCAGCCCTGCTCCCTGCCCTGCATCAGTTTCCCTGCTGGGGGACCTTCAGGGGCATTTTACAGACACCCAGGTGGATCACCTGTGCTACGGCAAGAGCAGAGACGTCTGACACTAATCCAGCTTCCAGAAAGAGAGCTGGCAGTCATAATATGCAGTCTAATATTCAAGAGAAAAGCAGTGGTGTCACAGCCCAGCTGTATGGTGTGATAGTGGTTGTCTGAAGGACCAGCCGACAAATTATTCTGACCCTTTGTAGGCATCTCAGCAGAGAGCTGCACAGAGGAATTTCTAGGAAGTTAATAAAGTGGGTCTGCAGGAATTTGTGGAAAAGACTACCCAAATCTGACACTTGAAGGATTGTGTGACGGGCTGACCAGAGGAAGGAGCGAGTGTGAGGAGATGGATGGGCCAGGCAGCAGGTCGGACAGCCACGTATGTCTGCCTTCATTAATTAAAGTGCCCAGGGATGGTCCAGGGTGCTGGGGTGCATCTGCCCATGCTTTCGTGCTCCTCAGACTGCTCCTGGTGCCTGAGGAGGACAGCTCGCCAGCCCTCAGCCTGCCTGGGAGTCGGGGTTGCCTGAGGGGACTGCATGCCGGGAACGCTTGGTGCCAGTGGGGCCTGGTGCCCAGCAAGGTTCCTGGGGCTGTTTGCCAGCACAGGCAAAGCCCGTGAGTTCTGGATGCAGGAACAGTGACCTGAAGTTCCCTGTGATCAAGCAAGCAGAGCCAGTGAAGGGTGAAAAAAGCAGCACGGCATGACAAAGATCTTCACAGGATGAGTGCCTGCAGGCCCTGAGGTCGTTGGCAGGAAAAGAGAAGAAGGCATCATGTTGGCCATGGTGAGCTTGGGCAGCAGTGCTGTTTTAACAAACAGGGCAGGGTTGGCTGTAGAGGTTTATTACACAACAGCAGCAGCCAACGTGAGCCACGAGCAGGATCTGGAAGCAGCGCTTGCCCTGGAAGCCCAGCAGGTGACATCTCCGGGGGCTGTGAAAGGACTTAACAGCCAGGCTTGGAAGGAAAGACGGATGGTGGTGAGCCCCTGGACGGGGTGAGAGGGGAACGAGAGCCAGGGAGCTGGCGGTGAGGAGGGGTCAGAAGCAATGTGTAGGGAGGAGAAGGAGCGAGACCGGGCAGGAGAGAGCTGCAGCACGAGGGGAGAGCAGGGCACTGAGGAGGGAGCGCGTCCACCGTGACCGGGGCTGGGATGGCAGAGGGACAGCGCCCGCTCCAGGAAATGGGGGAGAGCATAAGGCTTGGAGAACAATAAACCACATTTTATATTAATTTTTACCTTTGTTTTTGGCGTCCGTTAAAAACGTACATTTAGGGACGTAAACACAACTCTTTCAGAGCTGAATTTCTTATTATGATTATGTAAATGTTGCAAGTTGATTAAGTCTTTGTAGTTATGTTTTGGCTCATAGCAACATCTTTATCAGCAGCATAATTCATACTGTAGCAGTTAGTATGACACTAGAGAGAAGTATCAGTTTATTTCTTAGAGCTAATTGGCTTCACTACATAGTTCAAAAATCATTGGCATCTAGTCAAACCATACTCACAGAAAATGTACCATGCTAATAAACGCAGATCAGATGCTAGCAACGTTGGTATTAAATTTAAATGAAGGCATATCCAACCTATATCATTATTTTACACCTTCATATCATCATGTAAATACTAAAGCAATTAGACTCAGTAGGTCTGTTTTGTCCATCAGATATATAGGTGTAGCACTCATAGAATTATATTTTTTTTCAAAGGCAGAATCAATTTCTGAAATCTTATTTTTACTCCCGTGTATCTTGGGAAGCACGGATGCATACCATAAGCATTCTCAGCAATAAATATGTTTTCAGGAAGGTTAAACAAAGATAGGATGGATGTAACCCCAATAAAAAGGTGCAATTGTAGAGAATAAGGCATTTACCTAGGGTATAAAGGAGGAAGACATCCTAGTTTTTATTTGATATTTTGGTTTCGGGATTTTAGAAAGTAAAGTCATCTCATCAGCCAAACTGCTCTTGTTTCATCTTGTTGCTTGTTTGCTTTAAAAGGCTGTATGTTGTTGTTTGTGTTGTGCCCTTGTGGCAGCAAGCTGGGTGTGGGGCAGAGCTACGTCCAGTAGGGCATCCACAAGGGGCAGGAGTGGGAACAAGAGAGCGGTGGATTGGGTTTGCAGTGGCTTCACCTGCAGAAATACTTCCAGTGCGTGCAATGAAGCAGTGCTGGTCCCCACTTCGCCTCCTGCTCCAGGTAGGAGAGCACGGGCCGGGCTTAGGCACAGCGGAAACTCCTCTGAGCAGTGATGTTTGGTGGAAACCGAGCACTGCACTGCCTCTACAGTAGACCTTCACGTTGTAAAATGTTTGGCTATTCACCATTGAGAATGATGTCATTAGAGCATTTTGTCAGGGCTGGCCAATGCATGCCCCTGGCCAGTCACTCCTAAGCATGCCGGTGTCAGTGGTGGCTGCGAGCGGCAGCACATGCAAGCGGAGCCAGGACCTGAAGTAACCACAAGGCTTGCGCCTCATCAAAATGCATCTTGAATTCCATACGGCTGCCTGCTAAGGTATCTTGTACCATCTCCTATCGGCGGTGTATCTCCACGCTGTGTGACATGGCCTGCTTTGAGCAGCTTCCCTCTCGGCACTCCTCTGCTCTCCGTGGCTGCTGCCCGCGCCAGGCATCCCGCCAAGCATTCTGCTGCCCGCCACTGCTGACCGTGATTCCTGGGCAGACCATCTCCGACCTGGCCACTTCTCCCCACCACGGCAGAAGGGACGTCTCTGGTGCCTGCTCGGCAGAGAAGGCTGATTCATGTGTAAATTGCTGGTTGCCCTTTATTTGCGGGGTCCGGGGAGAGTACACACGCAGATTAAAGAGGAGGTCAGGACTGGGTACGTGATGGTTTCTCCTGTGGCTGTGATGGCAGGGTTAGAGTTGTCAAAGATGATCAGACAGACTCCGACGCCTTATTTACCCACAGTTTAGCACGTAAAAATAAATCCCGGCCAAGCGGGAGGCTTTTGCAGCATTGCAGGCCATCAGCACCATCAGCCTCCAGCACCAGGATTTCTGAACACCCTTGTCAGTGTCTCTGAGAGCAGTACCCATGCCTACATACCGGAATGCTTCTCTTTAAGCACCGTGCAGTGAGCATCCCCTGCCCTGGCAGGGCAGGCACTATCTGAGCACAGGCATGGTGCTGCTGAGCTCTGGCATCAGGGACGGGGGCACCGGCTGTGTGCCAAAACCCTCGTGGAACTCAGTTTCGCATCCCCGTAGTTCCCTATTAAACAGCTCTCTGAGTCTTCCAGCACCCTGTGTTGTGTCTCATTTAATAACGTAGTTATAATATATTTGTCTACTTTACAACTGTATTTGTATTGGCGTGTGAAGTGTGCAGCAGCTGGGAGCTGTGTGGGGGTGGCAGAAAGTTATTTGATCTACAAAATCAGTTACCTGTCACTCAGTTGCCTTTCACTGAAACATAATAAAGAATCATTATGGGCCTATTAGCAGCGCTGATGTAAATGCATTTTACGTGCCATTTTGAGATCAACAGTTACCCACACTAAAGTAAAGTTGTTAAGCACAACCTTCTTTGTTCCAGGCAGCAAATCATAAATCAGGCAGAATATTATTAAGCTTATGAAATGTAAATCCAGGACCCTCCCGAGGGTCTGATCTGTCTGGTCAGCTTCAGCATTGGCACTGAGGGCTGTCCTTCCCCAGAACAACCACGTGGCAACCTCGGCTCTGCTAGCATACCACCACCTACTTCATATGCGCATGGATGTGTTATGAATGCTTTTTAAGAGGCTTTTGTGGGGAAGAAAAAAGCACGCCTTTTAATATATTTTAAAAACATGAAATTAAATGGCTCAGACTGGATTAGGAGAGTGAGGGTATAACTTGTTGCACACCAGTTTTATACCTCCCGTGAGAATTCTCTTCTTTTTCATTGTTATTAACGATATCACATTTTTGTGTATAATATTGATGCTATTGAAATCACTTAACAGCTTTATTTGCCAGAGAGAACCTGTCTAAAAAAAGAAAGTTGTTAATGCTAATATTTTGAAATTCACCTCACATCCCTTGTTACTCTTTTAGTTATTTAAATTCCATTTTGAAAATTCCCACACTGTCTCAGAACCTGTTTCCTCTCGATCTCACTGCTGCAGCTTGAAACACCTCTCCTCGAAGCCACCTGTAAATGCACTTTTTGCTTCTTTTAGTAGATTAGCCAGGCCCCGAGCGCCTGGGATGGGAAGAAAATATGGAATGCGGGGTAAAGTCAGTTCTTCAGAGGTCTGTTTTACCTAGCCCTTAAAGTGGTGGGCAGGAATTTATGACCCCGCAGCAAGCAGCCAGTTGGACAGCAGAGGGGTTCTCACAAGCTTCTTCCAGACCTTGTCTGGTGGTGCCAACAATCATCAGCCTCGATTTAAATGGACTAAAGGTGGGTAAAGGCTGTGTTGTTAGCTGTGAGCCTACCTGGCCATACAGCATCCTTCCCTCAAGCATCTTGTTGCTGCCTTGTCAGCATTAAAACACGTTTTCTGAAAGGGGTGCTGGTAACCCGGTCTCCAAAACACTCCAGAGAGTTAGGACTTGTTTTTATTTTTATTTTTTTTTCCTAGTAATATCAACCTGTGTGTACAGTAACAGAAGTGAAATATTTGGCAGTTCTATGTGTATACAAATATGCTTCATGTATATAAGTACGGAGCACAGTACACAAATATACCATTTACTTAATATAAGCAACAACATTCTGTGGCAATTTTCCTAAGAATATATTTTATACATCTGTGAAGATATATATATGATATAATTATATGACAAATAAAAATATTTGAAGGTAGTGAACAGATTTGTTTATATGCATAGTCATTTACTTACCAGGGTAGCTGATCTCAAATGCAGAACTCTTATTTACGTTGTGCCATAAACATACATTTATATACATACAAAACTATACATAACAACCGGGAGCGAATTATCAGTGCTAAAAATAAATCTTTAATTCGGGAAGCTTTGCCTGTGGCATACATGAGTACTCTGTGTTAATTTGTGGTGCAGACTGGATGAATACTGCAATGCAATTAACCAGGTATCTGACTTTTTTGAGAGGGATCCTGTGTTTTCTTTATTTTCAAGACAAAGTTAAGTCACCTCTGATATGAAGTTACAAGAGGGCAGATTTTCAGATGGTTTTAGCACACATTTGTGCATGAAAAATGTACATACTTCTGCATTCCTGGTTTGTGTTCACAGGCATTGTGATTTAGGAGCACATATAAGTAAATATGCTACAAATTATGTATGCACTTAAACTGCATGGCATTTTAAAATTTGTATGCTATTTGCATGACATTTAAAATCTGATCCCACTGGAGCAGGCCCTGCTACCCAATGGGGAGAAATGAGCAAGAGAGGTTGCAGAGCCAAAATGGCTTTTGGTATCCTTCTCCATTAAGTATGGGTCCATTGCAAAGAGGGAAAATAACTGTACACATTCATATCTTCAGCTACATACATTCATATCTTCAGCTACATACATTAATGATTAGTAAACAATTATTCTGTGGTTTTATATCTGAATTATTACTTTGAAGAGCAGCATTTTACATGTTGCTCTCTGGACTACTTAATGCCACAAAGAAAGTTTTGTTATTTACTATTATTTTGTGAAGGCACAAAAGAAGCAACAAAACTAATGTATTGTCATAAACAGCATAACAGTAATTCTTACAGCAGTGCATCTCGCTGCTTTCTGGATTACTTTGCAAATAATAAATCAAATTCCTCCTCAAGGTGACATGTCAGTAATTTCAAATTTGATTAGCTGTATATGAAGGATGTTGATACATTCCTACATGAGCTAATCTTTGATAGCTCAGCAGACTGACAACCTTAGCACTTCCAGTGCTCCTCCACGACGGTGTGGCACAATGAAATAACCTTAAGCTACTTAAACCTATAAAACCACAGGGAGCCTGGTTGGGGTGCGGCTCAGCCAGCTTGGCTTTGGCCTGTTCCTCCTAAGAGGATCTGGGGCGTGGAGTTGAAGAATCTCAGTGGTTTGGTTTCTGATGTAGTGAACAAAAATGGATGGGACCAAAAGGGTCTGGTTCCTTGCCCCACCCTTCCACACTTCCAGGTGATGGGGGTGAGCCCTGAGTGTGGGTCCGCACACGATTGAGCACAGACGACCTTCCCCTACCGACTTAGAGGCTGACTCGGCTGCTGCATCACGAAAATCCAGTGCCACAAGGGACACAGTGCTGGTGGAAAGGGGTCCAGGCACAAAACATTAGGTTTAAGTACCGTCACCCTAGGTGGATCATTTTGCTCCTGATGGAGCTTCATGGAAGTGCCAGATTTTCAACGGCCCGTAGTCAAAACTTGTTACAAGTCCGCAGCTCAAGCATTAGTTTTTGCAAAAGTGACAGAGAAGAACGGGTTTATATTGCCACTTGTGTAATGATTTGTCTTTATTTTCTTTGAAGGGACTATAGGGGAGCTCTTTGGATTGCAAAGCTGGCAATTTTATTAAATGAAACAATTTTCCAGTATTTATTTTTAAAGAGGGAAGAGCCTAATTCTTTTAGGCTTGTTTTTTATTCCCACTTCAGATTTTTCACACTTCATTCACACACTTTATCCACATTAAGTAAAAACACATCTTACTTCAGCATTTGTATCGTGAGCCCTTTAAAGAAAACGTACTGTGCTGCCTGTTACCAGAGAAGCCTGTCAAGCAGCCTGCTGTAATTAATGACATTACTTCGAATTTAAGGAAAGATATTTTAAGAGGAAAGAAAATGCAAAACCCAAGAACACCAGTAACACCCAATGACTGTTGCTTAACAAACTAATTTGTGCCTTGGGTAGATTTGGCTTTCTGCAGTATGTTAGCTGCTCGGTTTTTAGCTTTAGCAGGTTAAATAAATGGAACATAGCTGTTTATGAGAGAAATGCCTACGCTAGTGCCCAATTTGCATTCAAGACTGCATACAAAGGGAGTAGAAGAGTTCTCGTCCTGAAAAGATGATGATCGTTTGCAAAGTTTTTACCAAATACTTGATGGCCTGTTGCATACCAGGGCACTGTCAGATGGGGTATATATGTGTGCCTGTGGAAGGAAAAAAGATGTCATTTTCCTTTCTTCATGTCTCCAGGCCCCAGTACCTTCATGTGCATTGAAATGTAACAGCTACAGGTAGATGCATAGGATAAAAGACTCACCTGGAATAAAAGATGGTGCTTTGACATTATGACAGCTTGGAACAGCAAATAATTAGGAGTTTGGGGTTAGCAGATTTTGTACTGCACAGAGCAAACGTGGTGTCCCAAGGTAGTGAGCAAGAACTGCTCCTAAGAGTACGTGCAGCAACATCAGCCGTTGCCACACCTGGGAGGTACGTTGTGATATGGCAGCAGTAAACAAAGAAATGAACAGTAGTTGGTAATATATAAAAGATACTGGCCATAAAGCATAGATAAAAGTGTGCAAAGTGTGTTGTGTTGTCTGAATTATAATATGATACACAAACATTGCAGTTGTCATAAATATGCTACTGAACATGAATGCTTATAGAGGTGATGGCGTTCTTGGGCAGGTTAAACTATGCCTTAAACTATGCCTAGCTTATTACAGATTTTGAGTGAGTGTTATGTGCCTGCTTTTGAAACTGAGCCTGTTAGGGCTTGGCAGGGCTTAGCAGATTTTCTGTATTTGAGAATGATCAATTACATTGTTGTTTGGGGGTAATTGATTCTGTGCCTGTGGCTATGTCACCCTTCCTTCGAGTCTCATTTGAAGAGTGCCATGATGTTAGCACAGAAAGGTACATGCTAACAGCTGGAGCAAGAAAAACAAACTGTGTATGGTTGGCACCCCAAAATACATGTCACAGCATCACACATCATAGCAAGTACAAGTTTAGATGCATGGATTCTTTCCGATAGGTTTATCATTAAAACTGTCAGTGCTGTGTTCATGGTGCCCTGTATGAGTCTTCATACTGTTTTTTTTCATTCATTCCTTTTTTTTTTTTAACTGTTCTGTTATCCAAACCCCAGATAGGTAACTGTTAGCTGAAGTTATGGCAGCGAATTTTGGGATGAGTCTAGAGGTGCGTGCGATGTGACTGCAGCGTAATACTGCTTTCAGTGACTGGCCATTCTCAGCTCCAACGATGTATGAAATGCTCGAAGTTTTAATGGGTTAACATTATCCAGAGTCCTCCACAGTGACAGACTATTGCCCAATCAGTTCATGCTAGAGTGAGCAATGACAATGTACAAACATTTTGTATTTTATACTTTAGTGCTCCTACATATGTTGTGTCCTGCGAGTGCAATTTGTCCCCTGCAGCGAGCACAGCTCTTCGGTGCTTTCCGTGCGCCACTGGATTGGCAGAGTCACAGCTCATGCATCCTCAGATGAAGCCAACCTGTGATGTCCATCTGGATTGCTGTACACAGCCTGTCCCCAGGTGTTGGTCAGCTCCTCTGAGCCCCTACCTTACGGGCCAGTGCCTTGGGAACTTCTGGTGGGCTGCCTCAGGAAAAACTCACCACAGATGAGTTATTTGGGCTTGATTTTTATTTGAGCTTTATTTTGAGCATAAATTATTATTTCTGTGTTATCCTCGTTCTTTACAGCAATCACAACAGTGCTGTGCAACCCTAGTGGTCATGCCCCCATACAGACATGGTGTGCTCTCAGGTGGAAACAACAGTTATCTTCAGCTGGGTTAAGATAAAAATACTAGTAGTTCAGTAAATGTGAGTGGCCATTAGAGGTGACACATATCTGGGAAGATACTCACCTGGAAACTTTGGGCCTAAGAAACCAGGTGAGCCAGGCCTTTCCTGGAAGGATCAGGAACGTCCTGACTGTGCATGGTTCAGTGGCACAGGATCTGCTTCTGTGGTGAGACTCCAGCAAGTGCTTCAAAACCCTCCCTGGCACTTGGGAAATCATGCAAGTTTTACTCCCCTAGTGAGATTAGTTCCCTGCTGTTGTTCTTTAAAATAGACATTGTTTTTTACTTTAAATATCTGTTTTTAAACCCAACACTTAAATCCATTCATTATCCATGGAATGGCAATTAAAGTGCCGTATTTCTTGAGTTTCCCAAGCTGTATTACATTCTCCTTTGTTTCCTCATTGTGCTTCATTATAAATGAAATTATTTCAAGTTCTGCTGAAAAACTCCAGTCTGTTTTGACCCAAGCAATGAGTCAGTGGAGGAGCCTGGTGGAGGAAGGCACAAGAGATCCCCAAGGGCAGCACAGTGTAGATGGAAGTTGTATCAGAGCAGCGCCAATAAGCACGTTCCACCAGGGGCCAAGTCTCCAGTCACCAGAAGCAGTTCCCAATCTCTGCATGGTGTGATCACAAACTGTTTCCCTTGCTGCTTGCTTGGCAACCTTCTCGCCATGCATCTCCTCCTTCCCACTGGCAGCGGTAGTCACCATGGTCCTGTCCCTGAGCCACTCGGGTACTGACTAAGCCGATTGTCTAACTTTTCCCTTCAATCTCCACTTCAAATATTCTCTTAATGTGCTTCTTCTGTGTGCAGTTCACTTTCTTTAGCCTCATCAAGAAGAGAAATTTTGTCGTGTGAGGCTCTGTTGATGCAGGCCAGGTGTGGAGCTGGAAATCATAGATCCAGGCGCCTGTACTAGTGAAGCCAGGCAAAGCAGCTGATATCACTAGAGTTGTTCATTGTCGCCTTCTCCATGAACCCAAGCTAAGGCAGAAGGAAGCACCGACCCAGCTGGTCTGTTCTGGTGGTGCTGGGAGGGGATGGGTCCTCCAGCGAGATGGAAAAACCTGCACCACTGCGGCCTGCTGCATCTGCTCCCCTCCTTGTTACCCTCCTGCCACCGGTGCTGCCCCTGCAACACCGCCCTGGTCCCTGTCCCCACTCCCCAGCCTCTCTGCAGCCAGTTCCCTGCCCTGGGCTGCCCTCCTTCCAGCTGCAGGTCCACCTCCCTCCAGCAGCCTTCTTGCACAGCCAGCTCCGCTCTCAGTCTGCCCCCAGGACTAGTTCTCCCCTCTCTTTTGTGCTATTAAGTGGCTTTTTCTTTTCCCTCCTTTCCTTGTTTCGCCTGCATTTGGAGCGCAGGATGGAGTGAAGCCACGCTCGGTTCCTGTGCCTGATGCCACAGTGCCCACAGGGCCCGCCTCTCGCAAGCAGCATCTTCAGAGCAGTCGTGGGCCCGTTTTGGGTGCCAGCTTCTGGGGACTCTTCACTGAGCATATGCAAATGAGACTTTTCAAAGGACTGTGACGAGGCAGAAAGCTGGGTGGTTTTTCATGGGAACTGCAAAAGGACAACAGGGACCATACCTTCCAAATTGCAGACTATTGCTGTGAAGAATAGAGACGCAGGAGCTGCTCAGTGAATTTCTTGTAAGGCTTTCTTTTCTTGTCTCTTTTTTTTTTTTTTTTCCTTTTTCTTTTTTCCCCAACAGGGGCAAAACATGTTTTTCCTCAATCTTATTTCCTGAAGTGACTAAATCCTTTTAGTTGAAACATAAAAAAAAATAATAATAATCAGCCTGAGGCAGAAACAGAGCATGGGAATTTTCATCCCAAATACTTAGCTTGGCAAAATTTATAAGCAACTGAAGACAAGCTCTTATAATGGAAACTATGGAGATCCCTAACTACAAAGAATCTACTTGCTTAACACACAAAAGTCAGATAGGAATATCTCCATGACCCATTTGGGATACTAAACCCAATTAAAAAGTATCTGCTTTTCATATTTCAGAAAGCCACATTAAGCAATGGGTGTCCTAAGGAAGCATTTGGTTTTAGCACTTCCCAGCCCGTACCAAAGCAGTTGCATCTATTTGATTTGCTAAGCTTGTCTGCCACAGATTTATTTGATTTTTTTTTTTTTTTCTGAACCGTTTCTGTTGTGAAACTTAATTTATGTACCGGCGTGCACATCAGATGTCCAGCTCAGCCAGTGCTGTGCAAGGGCAGCGGCATGGTCCCCTCAAGGTGCTTCCCTATTAAAGAAAACACAGAAAATATGGAAATTACCATAGTTGAGGTGGTTGTTACTCGGATCAGTGACAGAAACCCTGGGCCACGGGGCAGGTGCCATCATGGTCCTGCCCCAGCGGGGGCATTTTGGCACATTGGGATGCAGTGCAATGGTGTGTGGGGGCTCCCTGCATGGAGGGGAGTCACTCTTCTCCCCCAGACCCAAGCAGGACCCCTATGCACAGAGCGAAGCCTGGGGCAGTGTTTTCTGAGCAGGGACTGGTTTTCCTGGCTTCACAAAGGAGCGATCCGTATGGGAGCAAGCCCTGCACATCCCCTTCCTTTCCCAGCTCGGAGGCAACCCTGTAGGCCTTCGGTGGAAAATCCACCCGAGGCATCTGGAGATGTGGAGGATTTGCACTGCAAGGCTCGGTGAGGTTCCTGCGGGGAGGAGCAGTCACGTAGTGCAGCTACAGAGGCACGAAATGTGAAGCATTCATGTCGTTTTGGTACTGGCTCTGAAAAGCGTGTCAAAACAGATGGGTATGTTGTTGACGGAAAGCGCGTTGCTTTTTAGTCAGTCATAGATTCCCTCTTTTTGCAAAAGACTGAAAAAAATATTTTCTTAATTTAATATAGCAATATATCGTGGTTATTGCATTTCATTTATCCCTAGACTAATGGGGAACGCGCTATATGTATTCCAGCCACAGCGCAAGTTTTCCTTAAGTGCTTATATATGAGCTCCCCTCCAACTTCCCTCTACAGGAGATTTAGTTTTCATATTAACTCCTTGCAGGATCTTTTATGAGCAGTGACTGTCAAACTGTGCTTGTCTGTGCATTTGTGCATGCTGATATTGTTCTCATTTAGACAAACTTCAGCTCCCACCTCAATCTTGTTTTTCCCCATGTCGTTTTTTCTCTAATATATCAACAGTTGTTTTAGGCTTGTTTTGAAAAAACAGCCTACAGTGTTTTAGACAAACCAAGCCAAATTGGAGCAATAAGTATTAAAAGATATGCACAGGGCACAAACAAAAGAATTCCCCAAATGTATTTTAGTGATTTTCTTCCTGCTTCTTTAATATAATATTTGCGGGCCAACTGTGGCAATAACTGATAATTTTAATGCAAGATGACATAATTCCAGTTCAGCAATTCTTCAGAGAGAAATTACCCTGACAACTTCTTTCCATTCTGTCTTAATTTTATATAAAAAGAAAAAAAAAAAAAAGAAAAAAAAAAGATTCTCAATGTAAGGAAAAGAAAACAATTTGAAACAAGTTTTGAAACTCATTTAAATATTTCATCTCTCTTCCACTTCCAAATATACTTTCCTGGCAGGTTCTTGCTTTTTCATTTCCAGTTCTTGAGGTTTACCATCTTTCTCACTGAGAGACTAAACTCAAATTTTCTTCAGCACCCACTGAACCCTTGGCAGAAGATCCCTACCATGACATGAAGGATCTTGCTTGCTTTTTCTGTGAGCCTGACTTCTGTCAGAAGACTCCACATCAGAAGGTCGATTGTTAGGTCAGGTTAGTATTTCAAAATCAGAATTTGCATTTGGTAACGCACCAGGGTCATTAAGCTTTGCTATTTTCTCTCTCTCTCTTTTTTTTTTCCCCCTCTGTCTGTCTGGTAGGGAAAACAAACATTGTTCCTTCAGAATGGAGGTGACTATGTCAGCTAGAAGATAGCTTTGGAGCTTGGTGGCATTTATATATATATATATATATTTGAATGGCAGTAGCAAATCAGTCCTCATTTTGGAATAAATATGGTCTCCCAAAGGGAGCTTATTTAAGTGTTGAAGTGGCTACAAACTTTTAAGCTCTTCGATTGGATGATGAATACCATGTTAGCAGAAAGATGTGTTTTGGGGGCTGCTTTCAGGCCAGTTGTGCTTCTCCCAGGGTTGCAAGGCAGGACATGACCTGCAGTTCCTCCAGGAGAAATCCACATCTGTCCTTCCCCATGCTGGTCCCTGGGTCCTGATGAGCTTACTCCAGCCACAGAAAAGCCAGAAAAAGCAGAAAAAGACAGAGCAAGAGTCTTCCATTTTTAAAGGGTTTATTTTTTTGTCTTTTTTTTCCTCCTTCCACCACAAACTTGACCTTTCCACGTTCATCCCAGACTCTGTTGCTGGTGGCAGACCAACCTTCCATGCATGTGCCCACCTCTCAGGAAAGGGGATTTCAGGCAGGGCATTGGTGGAGGTCACCCCCCCTCTGTCACAGTATGTGTTCTCATCTCATCTCAGGTACAGCCACCAACGTCTCCCCTCCCTCCCTGATGTCCTATGCTTTGCTGTGCCCTTGGTGCAGCTCCATGGTCATTAATCTTGAATGCTCCCTCTGATGACATCTCCGAGGTTAAGTCATGGGAAGTGCAGTGTTACTCAGCTTAGTTAAATCTAGTGTAATTCGCATCTGCAAAGCCTCTGCAAATTAGTGCTTAGTCTTAAATTGCTGGTTTCCACGCTACGGACACGTCAAGTATCAAACACCAGCTCCTGATGTGTTATGAATTAAGGCGTGGATGCCTGAAGTCCATGAGACACACGCCAGAAAAACTCAAGTTTCTGAGTGTTTCTGAGGCAAATATGCAATTAATTTAGTTTGTGACACTAAAGAGCTGAGATGGCACCCGAACAGAGCATTCCTTCCCCTTCGTTTGCAGATGCTGCAGGTGACCATAGTGGTTTTGAGCCACAGTGCTCACCCACTTCACATCAACTTCACGTCAACGGGGCTGTGATGGGTGCAGACCTGTATTGATTACTGGGACTTGCAGGAGAGAAAAAATCTTTGCGCTTCAGATTGGTTATAAATTATAAATAGCATCTCCAAAGGCTGTGAGTTACAGAAATAGCATTCCTCGGAGACAGCCGTATGTAAAGCTGCCGTGGGAGAGGTTATTAACTTTATGATTGCAGCACAGCTGTACTTGACCCACAACAATGATCATTGCCCATGAAATCTCGCGGTCTGGGTTCAGTCCCCTGCCTTTCTCAAGAATGTTCATTCGCAATGACCAGCAAAGGTCATGCTTACATAAGAAGGTTAATGCTGACTGTATCAGTGTGAATTCACTGGTGAAACAGCGCTGTCTTCTTCCCACCATAGCAATTTTTTCACAGTTTTTCTCCCATAGAGCTTTTTTTATTTTTTTTGTAATTACTTGGTAAAATTCATATTTTAACAGAATGAACAGAGAACCTGTCCATGACTCCAAAACTTGAATTTTAAACTCTTTTTTGTTATGCTTTTTTTTGTGTTCTGGTAGCCCAGCTCTATTTTCCAGGCATTTTACAAACACAGATGTGTTTCCTTTCCATGAAGTCACTAAAAACTGTACTAAATTTCCCATGAAACCATCATTCTCACATAGAAGACTGACTGCTCATTTGTTGTACCATTCAGGGTAGGGCTGTTGCATTGTCATGGACGTGCCCTCATTTTTCTGTCTCACCACTATCCCTGAGTGGTAGGTGCAGCCTGTGCCCATGTTTTTTAAAAACCTGGCAAAACCATGTCTCAGTCTCTGTTTTCCAGTGAGGTGTTTTCGAGGAGAAGGTCTGATGAGAACAGTTCGAAGGAAAAAAAAAAAAAAAAAAAAGGAATTAGGAGCCATAAAGACTGGAGAGATGGTCTAGATGTATGGATGAGATCCAAGAGGAATTAAGGGACATCTGGTGGGCAAGGGTTTGGGAAGAGCTGTGAGGTGGGCAAGTTTGGGGGGAGGAATTCAGAAGTTCCTCCTGGACAAACGGGTGTCTTGAACAGAATTAAAATGGGGAAGGAGTGAAAAGAAAGTTGGGAAAAAAAGAAGGATTGAAGAGGGCATTCCTCCCTCTGAGGCCTGTGTACGTACTGAGCATTACGGAGGGGCCTCTCTATCTGCCTGAGACCCATGAAAGCATTTGCCCTGTCAAGCCTGAGGTGTTTCTGAGCATATACAGAGGCAGTGCTGTAATAAGGCACAAGCTCTAAGGTCAGGCACAGAGGTGTCAGTGGAGCTTAGACACCTCGGGGGGCACTGAGCAGCTGAATCAGGATGCTCAAGATCATTTGGGTTTAGGCTGTTAAATTTCACCTCTTGACACAAAGCGCTAAGTCCTTTCTGGCAGCTTGTGGCACCTGGAGCAGGTGTCCGGCAGGAGAGAAGGTGGACGTCCCCATCGCTTGCCCTGTTCCCACCCTCCAGCAGCCACAGACAGCAGGATTATGGATGTGTTTTGCTCAGCTTTCCCTCAGGAGCACCGCCAGTGTCTCAGAGGCAGTGCATCTACATTGATGGGGTTTTCTTCTTCGCCAGCACAAACTCAGCCAAAAAAAAAAAAAAAGAAAGACCAGGAGACCAGGCAGAGACTGGGAGCTGGTGGAGACACCATGGAGGGGTTGCGTTGCGTTGCATTGCGTTGACTTGGGTTGGGTTGGGTTGGGTTGGGTTGGGTTGGGTTGGGTTGGGTTGGGTTGGGTTGGGTTGAGTTGAATTGAGTTTCCTTTCAAAGGCAGGGCTTTTTTACAGTGATGAGTGCTGTGTGAGCACCAGTGGCAGGAAGCACAAGACTGAGTTGCCTCTGAACTTAACTGTAAAAGTACAGTACATAAAATGCTGTTCCTGCACCTGCAAATATTGTCTGGGCTCATGTTGACTGTAATCCTCTGCCTACAAAGATACAACAGGACATTATAATCCAAGCAGAAATTTCAGAAAACAAAAACCCTTTGAAATGCTCCTTATTATGAACATTTTCCACGAGGGGGATGGGGGCAGCAGGAGTTCATTTATGCACTACAGGCTTACGACATTTGAATTCAGATTCTTGCTGAAATCCTAAAAGCACTGGGCATTTGCTGCAGCGCTTCATGGCCCATTTGTTCCTTCAGCACGGGGCCATTTCTGTCCCTGGAAAGACCTCCTTCACTTCCATGATTGCCAGTGTTGGCATCCACACCAGTTCTGGCACGTAAGGGGGGAAAATTATATTCAGCTGTTTTACTTTATAATTGCTTTTTTGCAATTGCAGGTCTGTGCTTATCCTGCTGGTGATTAAGGGCCCTCTTCCATTTTTATTAGGCAGGGTGTCTTTACCGTCACATAATGCAGGATTTTAAAGCACTGCCCTTCCTCGCTGCTCTGGGTGCAGGCGCTGCCATTTCCACAGCATCGCCTTGGCTGCGTGCGTGCCTGGGAGCGCCAAAGCCGTATCGGCTCGTGCTCATGCTGCTGGTACAGCTGTTCCTCGGGTGATTTACATAATTTCATTTGCTTGGTGGGTTTTACAAATCTGCGATGTTCTTCACTGAAGGAAGCTTACATCAGCATTTTCTGAATTATTTCCAATAATTAATTCTCCATCCGGATGTTTGATGGTACAATTACTATTTAGGAGCAAATAATCGTAAAACACCATCACAGAGAGTAGCTATTTTCTAAGCGCCGGTCCTTTCACACACCCGGTCCTGCCCTAATCAATGAAACTCCTTGCGTAAGTAGTGCTCTCCCACGTCAGCAGAGCTTGCCAGCGAGGGGTGTAACTTCACATCTCCGCCCTGTAAGCACTAGAATCACTGAAAAGCTTCGGGATTTTGGAATAAGCTCAGATTTTTAAATCTGCCCTGCAGTATTTCATTTGGCATGAATTAAATGAGCACACAGGTACTGCCATGATGTGGTGTAAATGTCAAGTGCTGTGCACACACTAGGGCAGCATTCTAGCCCCAGTCTTGGCTGCTGCCCATCCCTGAAGCACAGCAATGTTGAGCACAGCCACAGAAAACCCTGTTGGACTTTCCCTTGGGAAGCACAGGACAAGGAGAGGCCACTGACTGCTGTCACGGTGCGGCTGCGTGTTAAGAGCCATCTTGTACATTGGTGTTTCCCAGGTTTATAACCTGTGGGAGCCTCGAAGCTTAAATATGGGTATTATAGAGGTCTCCAAAGAAGCCAGGTGAATGAGTGTTCTTCATTTACTTCATTTACTTAAAACTTTCCTCTCCCCTGATGGAGAAAATGATGTTTTTCAAATGCTAACTACTTTGTGCTCTTGGATGCAATTTTATAAAGTTGGATGTTTTGTTTTGTTTTCTTTTCTAATTTATGATAGAAGAAAAAGAACCTACAACTAAAAAGTTTACACTGATGTGTATTATCAACAGGTTTCAGAGCTATGATCTACCATGCAAATAGAATCAGTGCTACTGGTTGTCTAAATACAGCTGGTAAAATCATGAACTATTAAAAAACAGGGCTGGATGGAAAGAAACTCAAGAACATGTGCAATTTTTCAGGTATGCCTGTAATATTCCCAAGAGACTGTTGCCTGACCCATTGCTACTTAATGCGATGAGATCCTGCAGCTTCCATAGGTGCTTTCTCACCACCAAAATACCTTCTGTGATGTAAAGTGAACTCCCCATCTCATATTTGACAGGCAAGGAATACTGATGTTCATATATAAATACAGATAGATGTAGAAATGTCTGTAGATGGTGATGATAGAGATTTGCATGTAGGTGTCCACATAGAAATAGGAATAGGATGAGTTTGCTGCCCAGGACCAGTCCCTGAAAACCACTGGGTTTCTGAAACTGTTCCATCTCTTTAAACGCCATTGATCATTGTGCACCTTCGACTGCTAACCTGTTTGTGATTCCTCCTGTTGGTAACGCAGTAGCTCTCTTTTCCTTTTTATAATGCATGCTTAAAAGAAAATGACTTGACCTGCACTCAGAAGTGAGCGACCTTACAACTTTGGCTTATTTGACCGGTTAGTGCTCAGAGAAGCAAACAAATGACCCATGCTCTTGGGACTGCCCTTAATATTTAATGAACAGTGATGGAAATGATGGCTGCAGTGGTATGTTGGCTCCCAGCCTCTTTCTCACTTTGTAAACCTTGCTCTGACTCAGCTTTTGCATGAGTCTTCCCATCAGTTGTGTGCAGGTTGAGAGGAGGCTGTTAATATTTTGTTACCTTTCCAAACCACTTGCTGCTTCTGAGTAGATTATGTGCTGTAAATGAGGAAAAATAAAAAGGGGGGGGGGAGGAGAGGGTTCAGAGGTAATCATTGTTCTGGGCTGGTGGGATTCTTGCTGCTCCATTTCTGTCATTCTAGTAAAGATATTACAGATAATAAATGTCCGACAAAAGTAAACACTGTTGTCAGTGTCACAGGAGGTAATAGCTAAGCATAACATGCCTTAGTATGTGTAGTCTGTTCTCTGGCATTGCCAAACAGCTTCCCACGATTTTTCTCGCACGAACACTCCATCTAAAACAACTTACTGTGGGACTAAGCCCTCTACTTAAGCTGTATTTCATTCCTCCAGCTTTGCCTGGTTCTTCCCTCATGGTTCCTCCAAAGAATTCATTTCCCTACCAAGACACTTCTAGATTACTATCATGTCCATGACTCCACAAACTATTACATCTAAGCCAAACTAAACACACCAAGGTTTTGTTCTTTTGTGCATGTGTGGTATTATATTATTATTATTATTATTATTATTATTATTATTATTATTATTATTATTATTATTATTATTATTATTATTATTATTATTATTATTACAGAAATCACTGCTTCCATTTCATTAATTGGTTTATGACTTCTCTCTTAATTTTGCTTAAGCTTTTAACACTTCTTCACCACTGAGATGTTCAGAACTGCATATGCAGAAGCTCCTAAGATCATCCTTTCTCAAACCTCTTGAGCTAATGGATTCTTCCCCAATTTTTTGCTGAAGCTCTTGTGCTCCCCATCAAAAGTGCATAATGATTTTAAACAAATATATTTGTTAAATCTCCTGATAAAACAACTGATGATGCTCTGATCTCCTGATGATGATCTTCTGTTTTGGGGTTTCAGATCTGGAGATTTACTTCAGTAGAGCAAAGCAGTCACAGCAGCCACAGTAATTTCTGCAGATCACATTTCACTTCCTCTGTGCAGATCTAAGGGACCCTTCTCCAAAAATAGTAAATGCAGAAACTTTATGAATTAAAAATAGTTAAACCTGTCACTCTGGGTAACGTCTGATGGAGTCAGGGGTTAAAAAGTTAAGTTCCTGGTTAGAACTCTGGGAAAGGGAAGAGCATCTGAAAAGACGGGTGCAGCAGGTAGAATACCGCTTTTCCTGATGCACGCATGCAGGTTTGGACAGCATCATTGCATCATTACACCATTACACAATGGCATACATGAGGATCAAGACTCTGTGTGTGTAGATACCATGACAAGGAAAGAGAGGCCTTTCCAGCAAGGCCTTGTGAACTGCATTCACCTCCCTAGGCCAGAGGGAACGTGGATCATCATCTCTTTGTGCGTTTGGCATTGCTCCTCTATGTTGTGGAAACAGAGAAGCCCTGGAGGAGGCCTTGGCAAGGCTCGATACACGTGTGCCTGGGATGACAGACGTAACAGCAAGGGTCCTCCCGGTGTGGCTCCCACTGACGCCAGGTGGAAGCTTTCCAATATGCAAGGTGCTTCATGGAGAGCTGTGACGCTGCCTGCTCCATCAGAGACTAAATCCTGAGGTGCAGAGCACCCTTAATTCATTTCAAAGGCCGTGGTGTTGCAGGAGGAGCTGCTGCCCCAGGGGCCAGAGCCAAGGCCAG